TCAAAGGTGTCATTAAAGAATCGGCCAAGTTATGATCAGCGATATCAGCATAACAAGACACCCAAATGCCGTCCACAACCATGGTCCCTTCTTGGGTAACAGGCGCAAAAGCCCCCTTTCTTTCAGCTACCGAAACAGACTCTACCATCATGGGAATGAGTCCCCATCGAGTATTAACCAGAATGTAGTCACCGGGTCTGACTCTGGACGCATGAGTGGAGTGATTCGTGAGCCGCCCATCCGACAAGGGACAGGTAGTAAAAAGAAGGTGAGCTTCGCTGAGGGTTACTTGAACATTGAAGATGGTCGTGATTGTGTAGAAATCTCCTACAAAAGCATAGGCAAGGTAGGTGAGTAAAAGAAGCGAACGGTTGTGGCTTAGAGGAGCTTTGAAAAGAACATCTGCGTCTATAACTTACAAAGTATTCATTTCTAGTCATGCCGCCCAAACAATGGAAAGTTAACGCCATTTCTGCGGATTGTAAATAAGGTCATTTCCCAATTCTCGTACGTACCGAGTAAATGAACAGAACGTATGCCTTTCTGATAAATGAAAACAAATCAACACAAATTGGAAAAGCCGGGGTTGATAAGCAATTCTAAAAACTCAAAGATAAGACTACGATTTGTGTACGTTACCTCTATAGTTCGGCATTTGATCCAGAAACGTAACTACAGGACTAAACAGGACCTCCCCATCCTTAGAGTAAGTTTTCACCAAGTCACCAATTGCAATCTCATTCATAGCAATCTTTTTTCCAGATTTGAGCTCAACTTTAGAAGAGGATGGAAAACATGTACTCTGCTTCACATTTACATCGATTTTACAACCACCTGGAAAGAACACAAATAGGCTGATACCACTTAACATTTGGCTGTTTTATAAAGTACTCTATTTGTTAATAGTTGCAGGGACACCTAAGTACAAGGCAGAATTACATAGCGACTCGATCTTACTTCCATAAACGTTGAGTAAAGCAACAAAAGACAGTTGTTCCAAGACGGGCTTACCTGTCTGAGCAGGCCACAAATACACCTTATCAATACGATAGTGATGCAGAAGGCCTTTCCCTTGATGAAAACTCATGCCATTCCATAGCAGAACGCTACAAACATCGTTCGACTTCTCTTCACCAGTGACATTAACAAACATTATTCCCTGTTGATACCTAAACGCTTCGGTAGTATTCGACCACAGGGGATATCCATACATCAAATCAAGGTAGTTCAAGAACGCGTTTCTGTCATAGAAGTAATATATGCCACCACTGCCCTTTGCACTTCCGTTGTACTTTTTTAGCACTTGGTGACCTGGGTTCAAGTTAAGTGCCACGCTCATGCGCAGTATACAGGAGTCATTGTTGTGGGTGCGAGAGGAGAGATTGACCGCCTTGAACACGTCATAGTCACTGTACGCTCCTCCATAATCTACGTTGCCGGGGTAATACCGTTGAAGATTTTCGAAGAGAGGAAGCATCCCTGAAAAAAAAGTGTTAAATTATTAAAGTAAACTACCGAAACTGGTGCAGTGTCTTGCCCGCAACATCTAGCGCTTACCATCTGTCGATGATAATTTGATTCCTCAGTGGGCACTAAATTTAGTGCGTGACGAACTCTCAATTAGCTTACTTCTATCCGTCAAACATATTTTAAAGTATGCTGGTTAGTCTTTAAGGCCAAGCCTTTAGGAAGAACAAATATTTGCTTTCGTCAAGTTTCTTTTTTAAACGATTTCCATCCACCCAGTTATAGGGTGAGGGTCCATGACAACAGAAGAGAGTCGAAATTTTTTTTATTTACGGCATGTAATAAGTTGCAGACTCAATTTTGCAGCGTCAAGGGTTGAGCCTGGAAGAGGAAATCTGGGAATTGGATGGACTGAAATGTAAAACAAATAAGTTTCATTTTGCATTGCCATGGCGACCCGATTTTTCCTCAGCCGCGTCCGTCTATCAGAACAAAACTCTCCGGTAACTCGAAAACAAGGCAAAAATGATCTTAGAATTTTGGCCACATAATTTGAGTCAACTGTTTAGCCTTACCAAAGTACATATGGTTGGCTATCTTACCAGGTGCGATCTTCTGGTTTCGAGAAAGCAAAGTACTCCATTTTTAAAAAGCTGTTTTCTACTGGTATCTTTAAGTATCAATATCAGTTTTAACTACAAAGCCGCCGTAGCATGCTACTGAATGCCAAGTCCCCGGTTAGGTGGCGTTTATTGTCGTTTTTTCAGGGCGGCGGCTTGCTTGATGTCCTTCATTGACAAGAAACAGCCTTGTAAGATTCCGGTTTGTTGGTTTACATTGCGAAAGGGGTTAACATGAATATAAGCGGTAAAGAATTGGCTAGAATCGTGTCTTCCAATAGTAAACTGGGAGGAATAAGTTAGAAAATTGGGTAGTTTGAGCATTAAAACTAATAAACTGAATAAATTGCTTTAAGATATGTCTCACTCATATTAGTTAAACGGAAAAAATGACATGACTTCTTGGAAAGGAGTTCCAAGCAGTGTTATACTAAGGTCCTGTACTATTCAACTGTACAGAGGCCCGTCCATGTTTTGGAAACCCAACACTCCGAAACACCCAGCTCCAAACATCACTTTTTAAATTTCTGAAAAAGAGCTATCGACCACCCTAGCCCTGCGAAGAGTTTCTGGTTTTCTGACCACTGTGTCATGTTCCACAGGACAAAAATACTGATAATCCTATTAAAGTATGGTAGGATTACACGATTTCTGGGTCCTCTAATGGGGCGTTGTTTACAAAGAAGAGAAGTAGGAAGCGTTAGCCTCATTGCGTCGACAAAACCTGCTTAAGAAGATCAACACGGAACGAAAAACAAAGATCACAGTAATGTGAACAAGTAGAACACTACAAGGCGATCATACTCACTAGCGAAAACCACCGGGATGTAGGCTACAATCAGAATTACTACCAGAGACTTCATTTTTAAGTGTTTGGCAGAACTGGGAGATGGGCCGATTCAAGGAACTGCCTACAGGCCCTGCAGTCTAAAGTCTTCCTCAAACGTGCCAAACATTGCGTCCCTCTAATTGCAAATGGCACTAAAAGGCGTGTAAAGAGTGTAAATTCATCAATTATTTAGGACAGGTAATTTGTTTTCGCGCAAGTTCCCATCAATCTACTTTACGGGTGGCTTTATTCAGTATCAAGACATTCATGATTTTTGTTTGAGGAGGATTTTTGGCAAAGGTAAATGTGAATTTTGTCCAAGTAAGAAAGTATTCAACACCATAAAAAAGTTGTTAGTCCTTATGGGTGAACGCTAGAACAAGTTCCAGTCCCATTGTTAAAAGCTACAGCATCTAAAAAAAAAGCGTATTTAGGAAAATTAAGCAGGGAAACACTCTTAAAATTAAAATCTGAATTGGCCACTATTTCATTTGAATAAAGCTTAAAATGTAAGCCTAAGTATGACTTATTTTTCAACCGTGCGTCAAGCCAAGTTTTCTTTAGCAAATATCCAATATCACTTATATCAGCTTCATTAAAACTTTGGCAAAGTACCAGATGGCATCAAAATATTCCACTTTGTCACACAAACTACCGGCTGGGGCTAATATTGGAGGCATTTCTAAGGAACAGGAATACAGTCGAAACTCCCTAAGTGCCACCTAAAATACCAAGTTTTTTTGGGTAGTTTACGCAAAGTGGTAATTTACGAGTTCGACCGAAGCGGGTCTGTAACAGTAGGGGTTCAGACCATGTGTCAAGTGGTCCCTACGGGAGGTTCGCAGCAATGATAACTGCCACACTGTCTCTCCAAAAGAGGCTGGAGTCGTTTCCAACTATAGTGCTTTGACTGCGTTGTCGGGGTAATACTGTTGAATGCTTTCGAAGAGAGGAAGCATCCTTGAAAAACAACAGGTGTTAAAAGTCAGGGTAATAAGCTTCTGTAAAAGTAAACTGCCGAAACTAGTGCAGGTGCAGAATCAACTTTGCAGCGTTAAAAATCAAGCCTTGAAAAGGAAATCTGGGAATTTGATGGACTAAAATGTAAAACAAATGTTTCATTTTGCGTTGCCATGGTGACTCGATTTTTCCTAATGCGTGCCTGTCTATCAAAACAAAACACTCCGGTAACTCGAAAACAACGCAAAAATGACCTTAGATTATTTGCCATTTAATTCTTCGGTAATTGTGACGTTAAGCTAAGATTTGGACAAGGCAAAAAGTATGTAAATTTTAACCCTTCAAGCCCTAAGATAGCCTCCCACGCAGGCGTTTTTAGGAGAGCTCGTATTTCTTCCCTCCCCACAAACGCCGTTTGTGGGGAGGGAAGAAATACGAGCTCCCCTAAAAACGCCTGCGTGGGAGGCTAGCCCTAAGAGTGATCAGCATCAAATTTCTCCCTGTAATACCAATACTTTGTAAAACAGAGTGGTCATGAGAATTACAAGCATAATCACACATGATGAATTTGCTGGATATTTTATCAACTTCTCCCCACTACATCTGTAGGAAATTACTAGGGGCAACAAATGAGAATTCAAATTTTGATCTTAAAGTTTAAAGCTGGCCCCAGTTGTTCAAACGTTGGATAGCGCTATCCACCGGATAAATCACTATCCAGCGGATAGCGTAATTGGTTTCCCTAATACTTATCCGCTGGATAGTGATTTATCCGGTGGATAGCGCTATCCAACGTTTGAGCAACTGGGGCCAGGTCTGTAACTGTAGGGGTTCAGACCATGTGTCAAGTGGTCCCTACGGGAAGTTCGCAGATGTGATAACTGCCACACTGTCACTACAAAAGAGGCTGCAGTCGTTTGCAAGAGGTTCCAACTATATTGCTTTGACTATAACACGTGGAGGTTCCAATGTGATTAGCACAAACGGCCTCGTTCCCATTCCCCTCTCAAAGGAAGAGGGTGAGCATCAAGGAAAAATGAAGGAAAGATAGTCCACCGGAAGTTTACCTGCCCCTCTTTGAAGAGGGACTTACTGCCCGGAACAAACTTAGTCTTCTTTTTTTTTCTTACTTTATTGGCATTCGTAACCTCTTTATGAAGTTAGTGTTAAGAAAGTTAGGACCAAGTGGTCTACAGTTCAATGTTCACAAAGTAAACTTTACAGACATTTATAAAAAAAATATTTCTGACATTGGCGTTCATACGGCGATGATAAAAATTCGCAATAATAGATTCTTTACGATAAAAGTTGCCTGAAAAAGTCGTTTATTGAAGATTTATTAATACTTAAAACCACGGAAGAAAGATACCAGAAAAAATAATATTCAGCACTTGTGTCAAAGGCCACCACTACCTCAGAGTTTTCAAGAAGACCTCGGGGACATCTGGCAAATAACTTATCAATATATTACGACTTTTTACCTACAAACAAAACTAACCGGTACACTTTTTACATTATATACAGTAGCTGTAATACTAGGTGATTCTCTCTTTTGGCTTCAGCTGAAGAATGCACCATTCGCCACTGGCAAATCTCCCATAATACACTTCTCTTGGGTATTACAGTCGTCCCAAGAGCAACTGAAGACAATGCTGATGCAAAATTTTGGGGGGTAAACAAGGTGTATTATGGGAGATGTGCAAATGGCAAATATGAAGGGAAAAAAATTAACCAGGACAAGAAACAAGCTTTGACTACAGGTATAAAAATTGAAGTTATTGTTTAACAGTCAAAACAGGAAAGAACTAGTTCCCACTTGTTTTGCGTTTTGCTATGACGAGTTGTCATTGCGTGTAAGTTCTTCGTCAGACATTTCGGGTATATAACTAAGAGCGACACACAAGAGTTCAATGCGACCTCTGTACTCATGTGTGGCTGTGGCTAATATTGAAGCCGTTCTCAGCGTTAGAACTGATAACTCAGCCCTTTCGACTGTTTTATTTGTCGATAATGGCAGCCACAAAATGTACATCAGCGCTTTCCCATTTCCCAGGCTTGTCCTCCTCGTGAACAAACAGAAGGGATTCCTCCCGTAAAGTCCATGGTGAACACAGATCGGTTCTGTCGTTACAAAAGCTGTAGTATTTGGCGGTCTGTTTGATTCTTGTCACTACCACATAATGGTGTTCACTAAGATTCTTAGTCTCTTTACTGACAATGACAGGGAAACCTTTTTTCAGCAGGTTTCTTATAAACTCTGTCCAAGGACCACTCTCTTTCTCGTGGTTACCCCGATGAACCACCTTAAGCTCTCGCCCCAGGGCGTTCCGAAAGGCTTTCTTCATTTGCGCCACATGAGCAGGAGAGGTTACTCCTCTACCGTGTGGGGAGCAATGGGATCCAAGACTGAGGAAGACTCGCTGTATCATGTTCTCCACTGAAGAGTCCATAGTTAGTGGTAAGGGTGACGGCAAACCTGTCAGACGAGTTATGGCTCTGTAACAGGAAAAAAAAATGAGTACGTAAGATTCTGTTTTGTTACAGCCAACAGTTACCGCAACAAAAAGAATATTTCATAGACAAAAAAGTTAAGAAAAACAGACGTTGGTATGTCTAGTTTCAAGATAAAGCTCTTGAAAGCACTGGCAACTACAAATACTCCCCCCCACCCCCCGTCTGCACCAAACGCAAAAAAACAATGTTTAAGTCCGGCTGGATCAACTGACCCCGTCTAAACAATATTGACCCGCGTGGCGCTAGGGGAGGGGCCACAGGGATACCAATCCACGGGATAGACGTTCTGTGCGTATAAAAGTGCAAAATTCTTAACACTTTTTGTCCAAGATTGTGGGTATGATATAAAGAATTGTGCAGATCGAGGACACTGATATCCACTACGGCCGAGATGGAAAACAGTCTCCGAGATCTGCATAATTCTTCACATCACACGCAAGCCAAATGAAATAATTGTTTTACGATTCATTCGAAATATTTCAAAGTTCCTATTAAACAAGCTTAGTTCCTCGACGACTGTTCTCTAAACTTCGTTCTATTACTCGGCACGGTTTCAGGATATAAACAGATGGTGTTTTTAAGCTACTCTTCAAAAAGTAAATAACATTCATCGACCAATATGTTTTGAGTATTCGTACATTTATTGTTTCAGGGTTTGTCAGAAATTTCAAATGAATAATAAGCAAACTGACCCTTCAAAGTGGGCTGACTAAAGGCTGGTGCTCTGGACGAGGAGCTCACGTTATTTGTGATATGGAAATCCGAAGGAAAAATGTATTTTTTTTAAGGAAAAGAGTATTTAATGAAAGTCTTCGCTGAAATCAAATTCCACCCGCGAGGGCCGCTGTTAATTGAGCCTACTATGAAATATAAAAATCTAAAGTTGAAGATAACTTGCATTAGCGTAATCATGCTTGGAACACCTTATTGAGGGCGTTCTTGGATATCATAACCATTTCAAGAACAATTGACTTCAGAATGACAGAATTTGGAATTGCTTCTCGTATAAAAGAAAAAAAATGCCACTTTGGTGTGAAACAAAGACACTTACTGGTAACTCGAATTGTGGGTCCTCGCCACATTGTCAAGGTAACCAAGTATCTTCGCCCAGGCCACGGGACCTGTACCCGTCATGCATTGGCCATGTTTATGCTGTCGGTACTTGGGGAGCAACTCTTCACGAGGTATAGCAAAATACTCATCAGAAAAAGAACGTCGATACCTGCTACTTCTGAGAATTATCCCGTAATTGATAACCATGACGCGAGACCCGCGGGTTCGCAATTCTACTTTAAAGCGTATTTCATGACCTTCAAGATATTTACGAACAAACGTCTCATCTGCATCTACTTTAACTTTAATGAAGCGGTCTCCCGTCTTTGTAAGTTTGAAGAAACGGTCGCTGATTTTGGTCATGTCCAAATTGCCATCTCCTTGACAGACATCGCAGAGAACCCGACAAAGACGCTTCTGCCAACGTTTCTTCCATCCCTTCATTTTCTTTTCGTCGCCGTCTCGTAATCCGACGAATTTGATACGAACTTCACGTAAACCTTGACCAAGTGGTATGCGAACCGAATCACCAGGGCGAAGGCCAAGTTCGGCCTTGAAACCATCCTCGGTTTCCTGCACTTGAAAGTTAAATTCAGTCTCTAAGCTGGTTGGTGTTTGCGTTGACGAGGCTCTTGATGGCGTGGTGGCTGTCGTCGATACTTGACCTGAAATAAAATTTTTGCAGCTGTTAAAAGAGTACTAGCCAATTGTTCAACAACCCAAACTTTAATGTTTCCGTTAGAAGTGAACTTTGCCAAAACGTCGTGTTTTTAACAAACATTTACAATAACCATCCAAAAAGGGATCGTAAAATAGTAACGACAGCAGGTTTCTTACTAGCTTTCACGGACAGCCACTGGAACCTCCGCCATTCAGGGTCTTTCCGAACTCGCTCTGCTAGCTTGTCCCATTGTCGTTTTAAGTTCGGTAAAGCACGGTTGACTTGCTTATCTAAATTCTTCCAATCGATATCCTGCAAAAAAACACATCCACTCTCACAACTAGACTCAATTATGAAAAAAAAGGAAACGTAGTTCTATTGGAGTCTGTGGATGGATAAAATATTATGGAATGACCGCAATTTAAAGGAAATCTCGTCAGCAGTAGTTAGGTATGATACCATTTTTTTGTACTCTTTCTAGAATCTTTGATGGTGAGATCTCTAGATAGTGAAAGAGTTCACTTCGGTACCTCTGGACAATGTGAAAAGCCCGTGATAAGATGTCCGTGGTTCATACCTACTTTTTCTGTAAAAACTACTTCTGGTCGAATTCACTAATAGACTTAAGAGGTCATCACTTTGGTCGGTCAAAACAAAAATGCGGTCGGACTCAATCACGAACACATTACGCGCCTTAGGCTGTGTACACACTATAATGAATAGCTTTTGCGCCGCCACGAAAATCATATCGGATAGGGCTTCTGTTCACACAAAGGAACGGCTGAAGCGGCGCGATTTCTGTGACGGAGCGAAGCTGCGCCGCGCCGCGCTGATCTCGAAAGTGGAGAGTCACATATCGGATAGGTGTTCACACTATACCGTAGTTAACTATACCGTTAAGTTTTCGAGGCGCCAAGAAAATCTTAGTATCCAGTATAGTATGAATATAGCCTTAACCCTTTAAGCCCCAATATCCACAAGCAAATTCTCCAAACTGATCTGTATACATTTCTTTAAAGAATAAGTTGAGAGAGTTTGATAAAAGATCAAAGCATTTTCTCTTTGGTGATCATTTAATTAATTCTCATAACCTAATCTCTTGACAATCTATGGATATTGTTACGAGACAATTGATGTTGGTCACTATTGGGACTTAAAGGGTTAAACAAAGACCGTCATGGCAGGCGCGGGATTCGTCGACTACACTGGTTGCAGCCAACTGGGTTGCAGCCATATGTAAACTGAAAAGATGTTCTTTGGGTGGCTACGACAATTCACATGCGCTCAAGGTATATTTTCTTCATCTGCAAAATGACAGTCTGGTATATGAACGGTCCGGTCACCATGTCCAACAGTTGTTAGGAATTCATAGGACACGGGAAAATTTTAGTTGGACACTGTCGATGACCGACTTATTTGCAGCTCTGTATTCCCGAGTAAAATAAAATGACGGACTAATTGTGGTCTAACTCACTAACTTTGATTGGTCAAGAAGGCGGCGCGAGATCGAAAATCGATGCTTAGACTACGAGTAGTCCCTCATTTTTCCTCAGGGATAGTAGAGCGTGCGAAACGCGAGCGCGCGTAAAAATCACCCCACGCGAGAAAAGGCGACACGCGGTGGGGAGTGTCGCCTTTTCTCGCCTGGGGTGATTTTTACGCGCGCTCGCGTTTCGCACGCTCTACTATCCCTGAGGGAAAATGGGGGACTACTCGTAGTCTAATCGATGCTCAGTTGAAAACTTCTTGACCAAATGGGCTAAATATATAGCTATTTCAATTATATATTGTCGGAATTTAACTCCTTATTAAAGCCTACGCGACAGGACCGCTATGTCATGTTGGTAGCTGTACATTCTTTAGAATTTAGTCACAATTTCGTTGTTGTCAGTGCAATAAATAGAGAATGTTATAGAAGGACACAAACGTCTCCCTTTGCGATTTAATGACGGAGAAACTTAACAGGAACGTACAGTGCAACCCCGCTCTACAGACACCCGCCTAATACGGTCACCCGTATATAACGGACAGTTTTGTTTGTCCCGACCAAAAACTCCTTTCTTTTCTGTAAAATTATAAACCCTCTTAATATGGACAACGGACAATTTTCTGTGTCCCCAATCACAAACACTCATATATCGTCTACCCACTTTACGGACACCTGAGTATCTGCGCACTGACTATTTTCACTGTGTGCTAATTATAAACATCGCATCCTGTTCAAATAATGAGATTTCTACGAGTTAATGCGATTTTATTACTGAAAAACAGCAGCGAAATAGCGTGAGGTGTTTCATTTTTGGGGATTTTGATCAGTCCGTTTATCCTTCGGTGTTTGACCCCTTATACTTTGGTGGTTTACACAAATTTCTTTTCCTTAGCTTTTTCCTTTCAGTCATTGCTCCTTGGTATCTTTTTATCGATAAAAAATGTGTCCGAGACGTTTTTTTTCTTTTTCCGAGAGCCCGCTAAATACAGGCACCCGGATAATACGGACACTATGGCATGTCCCCATGGTGCCCATATTAACCGGGTTCGTTCTCTAGTAAAATAGGTGTATAAACTGATATGAGTATTTTCACCCGCGTGGGCAGCAAAAACAAGCCATCAGGTTAAAGAAAGGAACCACATTTATGTGTGGTCTAGAGGTGATTTCCTAAATAAAGTGTAATCCTTTAAGAGGTCATAACGAAAGCGCTGAATTTCTCGTTAGTTGCATTCGCCAGAATTTTAGTTTAAAGAAGAAATACGAATATCCTCTCTTTGAAGACATAAAGGAGATCCGCAAACTTCTAATCATTACAAATTCAGTAAGGGATCTGTTATTTCAAGGTCTCCGTGTCAAACTTCGGTATTTGGGAATTGCCACACCGCCTTTTTAATCTGTTATTAGCCGTGAGTAATGCGTATAGGATAATAGTGATTAAAATGTTTACCTTAAAAATTTATGAGTAGTAATCCTATTTATTTCTTAATTCAATTTGAAAGCAACGGAAAAAGAAAACAAAATAGCTAAAAAATCCCGTTCAGGGAAATGCATGAAGACAGAGCAGTGCCAGGGAAAAGGGTCGTCTGAGTATTTGGCTTGAATGGTTACAATATTTGGTCTTCCCGCTGATAGGTGGACTGAAAAGCTAGAAACCTACTGCTAAGGTTTTAGGAGGTTTAAGGAGGCAGCGTGGCCGAGTGGTTAGAGCGCTGGAGGAGGGCCCGAGTTCAAGCCCTTGCACTGACCGCAAGCTGGATTTGCTCCCCGGGGGGGGTACTCCCTAATATGGGCTATATAGGTATGTGCGGCCCCAAAGGGTAGGGTTTTTCCGCCGTTTTGGTCATAAATTGGGTATCGATTTTGGCTATTTTGCCGCCATTTTGGTCATAAATAGGGTAACGATTTTTGCACTGTAGTCTTGATTGCACTTTTTTAGAAGAAGCTACTTCCTTATCGTGTCCCCCTAACCTAATAAAAGCAGATAAACATTGCCTTTAACATTGGTCTGAACTAGGGAAATAATTATAAGGCAGGTCTGAAACAGGGTATTGATTTAAGGGTTAGGTCATAAATTAGGTATCAAATTTTTGGTTAGGTCATAAATAGGGTAGGGAAAATCGCAGATTTTGGTCATAAATAGGGTAAGGGTTTTGGGAAGCGGGCAACCCCTACCCAATTTTTCTGCGAGTACCCCCCCCCCCCGGGATTTGCTCACGGTAGTCTCGAGTTCAAATCCTAGGCCTTGCTTGTAAATTGCCAGCTCATGGTTTGCCTCAGGCCAGTTGGGATTCTTAACCCTGTTAAGTTTAATTTAAATTGTTTGTTTCAGGCATTTGCTCGGCCCCACTAAAATATCAGTGCTAAAAATACTACCCAAGGTAAACAAAGATTATTATCACTATTATCAGCTGGACTGCCACATTACGGATTATCACAATTTGGCTTACTATACTGGGGTAATTTATGCATCAATTAAGGCTCACAACAGTTTCTTTTGAATGGGTATGACATAATTTGTGAAATAATAAAAAAGGCAAGGACAAGATTTCTCACGTAGAATAACACTGAACCTCTTCCCCTAAAGAAAAGGAGTCATTATGTTCCACTTGCCCCAACATTAAATCGCACTATCAGCTTCGAATCCTTCCAAACTGTGAGTTACGTTTTGCAGGTCCAAGGAAATGCAAGTATGATTAATAAAGTGGTAGTTCTTACCCAAGAATCACTGTCAATGTCTCTTGTTGCTGCTACAATTTTGTTTTCTCTGGTGTCCTCACATGCCATAAGACCATCAGGTCTAAGACGATAGACTCTGTGACAGCCATAGCCAATTCGCCGTGCTTGAGCAGTTAGCACATCAGATGGGCTTGGTAAAGGTCCTTTTTCAGCAAGGCGATGATCACCTGTTTGCCTCGCTACAATAGGATTAATGTAAATGTAAATGTAAAGACTAATTCACCCAGAAAAAAATGATTTTAAAAAAACAAAATCATACATAGAGCAATTTCGGAGAGACTGCTAATTTCAAGTTGATAACAAAAATCAAACCAAAAAAGCATAAAAAAAATAATTTGAATAACTCAGAGTGATGGGTAACATCATACGTTTGGCTTCTTTCAAGCTACTGTAGGGGCACAAGACAGTGGAAACTACTGAGGAATAAACTTTAAGAGAGCATGGGAAATACGTCACTCCAACACATTTGTTCATCAGATGACCAGTGTTCCGGATAAGAGATGGGTCTGGGATCAATAGCCTGACAAAGAAGGCTTCCTGACCTGACGATGACACATAAGTATTAAATTAAATAGAATGAAAAAAATTAGCAGGTGGTCTTGGTGGCCCCTTAGATGGTCTACATGATTCCCCGCTTGAAAGAATTAACTGGAACGCTGCAAATCATAGCAAAGTTATGGTACATCACTTTAAGCAAAGCAACGGGCACTGACACTTAACAAGTACAAGTTACATACCGGCTGAAATGATGACATATTTTTCACCATTTTTTCCATTAACTTTAGCCTCCCAGTAAGCAATATAGTCCTTTGGAAGATCCTTTCTAAAGATTGGCCTCAGGCCAATGATGTCCTGTTGGCTAATTGCTTCTGACAGTGTGTAAAACTCTTCCTGGGCCTCCCATGATACGTTATTGTGCCAGGCATTTGACGTACCATTAGACAAATTTGGAAGGTCTGTAACCACAATGTAATCATCGCAAAGATTGCATGACTTCTTTCGGCTTTTGTCCCTGAAAGGAAAAACGGTATTACAGTTAACACTCTTATAAGTAAAAGTCAGTCACATTTGAGCTTATTTACAAAACAAGAGCTAATGATAGAGATGATAGTCATGTCATGTCAGTAAAGAGTTCAGCTATTCACCGAAATGTTTGAAGTTGGTTGGATGGATGTAAAAGCTTGCGGCACAACAAAAAGATTACTTCTACAACCCTTTCAATAATAATTTCAATTCAATTTTCAACTGCCAGCACAAGGAAGCAATGCAAAGACAGACACCATCTCCCTTAATAGAAATTTCAATTGAATGATTTTATAAAAAAGCAAAACAAATTTCTCCAACCCAAGCAGGTAATGGCTTCTGGGAAACTTGGGGATGGGGTGCAATAACCTAAGTATATAAAATATGGAGTGCTGTTCAGATAAAGACAAGCTCCATTTGCCCAAAGAGATCTGTTAAAGGTCAGTCCATATGCACATGTGGTGTCCTCTTTTTGAATTTGTGGATGAAATCTCCCCATTATGGTCTGACTATTTGAATAAAGTGTTCTACAGCATTCAATTCTTTCATTTTTGTTTATTTCTCCAGACATTTTGAAAAATGTATTTTTGTTATTTTAGTCTGGTCTGCATTTAGAAAAGAAAGGACCATGAACACCAGACTGTTGTCATATAAACAGCCTTTCAACCCAGCCATAATGACATTCCAAGGCTGACGACTGGTCCTTATTACAGGATGAGGAAACAAGCATTACTCCCCTTGAGTTTGGTTAAGATTCATTTCGTTTTACCTTCTGATCTCTGTTATTTCACTTTCCTGTGTTTATTCAAAACAGACGCAAGGTAAATTTTGGAGATCTTAATCTTATCCACAACACTAAAGCATAGATCAAGCCACTGATCATTTTCTAGATAATAGAAATCTTTGGATCAATCTCAGTAGTAATAATTTTTCTAGACATGATGCAAAACCTCTGCAAAGGATGTCAGAGATGACATAGGTTCAATGATTTTGATCAAATCAAAACCCAGTCACTATCCAAAAACAAGAAACTTAATCCACAACGACAAATTGCTTAAATGACTAAGTTAAAGTTTTTATCTTTTTAAAGCTTAATTGAAAACTCAAATAAATGTACTGTAGGTATGAGAAGCATTTCCCATAGGGTTATTTGTTTTGGTCAGCAGACAGAAAAATAAATGGTTTCTTGAGTGCACCTGATAATGGTCAGCTGTCAGTTAGGTTCAAAAAATGTGACAAGTGCTACAAGTTGATTGTGAGATATAATGAATCAAAAATCTTCATTTTCACTTTTGGGATGAGGTGAATTAAACCCCCATTTTTCATCAGTACGTACGGAGGACAGAACCTATGTATCTGATTGAGATCTGTGGTGAATTAAGGCCATCTGAATTACCTAATTAGGAATTTTAAACCAATATCCGCAGATCGAAATCCACTTAAAAATAAGCCCTTTCACAAGGCCGAAGCCCATTTTGTGCACGCGTAAATCACCAACTCTAATTCGAGTAGTTTAGTGGCATAAGCTTGAAAGTCAATTATGACAACAAACGAGTTTCTTTGAAAATTACGAAGCCTTTCACATTCAAGACCGCAAAACAGCTAATGAGTTCATTACGAAGCCCGTTCCCTGTTAACGATGGAAGTGAACATCAAGAAAAGGTCTAACACGATAAAAAATGCTGATCTGGGTTACTACAAGTACATTGACTTCATTACTCGACCACGCAAACCTAGTTTTGTAAGGAAAGATGGTGCAAAAACGGGAATCCTTCATAGATTATATAGTTGCCCAGTGGTCGTTTTCAAACCAAAGGCATTTACAATGATCATTTAAATAACAACAGCTCTTTTGTAATTTGCAAATTTAACTAGACTATAACAATTTTGCATTCATTCAATAAGAGTAATTAGTACGGACATCAAAGGAACATTTATTGGTCGAGTGTCATGAAGTGGTGAGGACGCCATTCCGAAGAGCATCAAAAGCCGACATATTAAATTTACTTTTTTATCTATACAACATTTGCCAATTGAAACCGGAAAATAAAAGATGGGCTTTACCGTGCAATTATGAGCTTGGAATGATAAGCGGTGTCCTTTATGTGTAATGACCGCCGTCAAGGTTGACATACAAAAACTGGTGAACGAACAAACGAAATCAAGCCCTGCGTCTTTTTGTTTCCCACAGCTTGCTCAATCCAGGGGACAGATTGAGTGTTTTGATTTTGCTCAAACTAGAGGAATACCAGCCGTATAGACATTAAAATAGTGCGCAACAACAATGACCTCGCTGTGGTGAAATACTGCACTTAGTAAACAGCATGATCTACAAGAAAACTATTTGCTACAATTAAAGTAATATCGCAACACAACCCCGCTCACCTGTTCGTTTTTTGGATTACGTAGACGACTACAAATCCCACTAGTAACACCACAACCAACAGAAAAATATAGACGCCGGTCCGAGGAGTCCTTCTTTGTCGTTCATCTTGAGATTTCACCACAACTTCCTCTGAAATTTCAGGCACCTTCCTTTCATCGTCCACCATTTTGACTTGAAAGTTGCCTTGCGTCGATTCACAGCTAGGCGGTTTTTCCCCCGCAAATTTTGTCTCAGCCTTTACCATGTTAAGTCTCCTTCGGCTTACACTGATTGAAACCAAAATAAGGCAACGCGAGACGTCTGTGTTCTCATGGAACGATTTCTGAAGTGCACGTACAACGCTCCCTGCTACATATTTTGAAATCTCTGTTATTCGATCACCCAACACTTGATCACAGACGTGTGAAATTGACAAGCCAATCGCTCAAGCCAATCATCAACTTTTTTTGCCGCCGGAACCGGAAATAGAAAAATAACGTGGTGAGTTGGTGAGATGTTTAGGCGCTCACCAGGGCTACTCACGCAGTAAAGTAATTGAGTAAAAGAGCGCGGAAAAACTATCTGCCAATGTAAATACGCATCTAAAGATATTTTTGCTTTCGGAACTGTTCCTTATGCAAGATTAAACAACAATAATGACCGCGTGGGTAGATCTGTATTGTGTGCATAATTAAGCAAATTTAAGATAGCCAAAGGAAAAAAAAACAGCAGCTGATAGCAGTCAAAAATTTTGTATGAAGGGTCTAAAGTAGAGTGTAAGATCTAGAATGAAACTTAATGAAGCATGCTATTGAGGGATTGGTCAGTATTAAGTTTCTTTACGTAAAAAGGGAAATGAATGAACACCAGTGAAATCAGCAAACAACTGCTACAACAGTCCTAAATTGAAAAAGGCTGCCCTGCTCGGTTTTAAGTTGCGACACTTTGCGTGAAAATGCAACATTTTCTGAGTTCTTGTAACAAAAAAGTTTCTGTTTTGATAATAGCATGCAGCAGTTTTTGGATTCAGATACTCAGTCAATAAATGAAATTAACTTGGCTCCAACTGACAAACTAAGACATGGTCGGGATGTGGTAATCTAGTTTGCTGCTCCAGCGGCAGACAACAATTAATAAAACAACCTATTGTCCCCTGGATCAACGCCGAGCTTTTGTAGGAAATCACAAAAGGAAATGAAACTTACTAATACAAAAGTGAAATATTCGCATCGAAAAAGTGATTGCAAACAATTTTTTGTTGTTACGAACCATCGGTCAATCTCATTCTGCCCATTCTCTCTCAAAAAAGGACTAAAAAACGCCTGTCAACCTAGGGCTGGCACTGGGAACTGTAGCATTTACCTAAACGCAGGATAAAATATAGACTTGGCACAAGTCAACTGCGTTAGCGCCAAAGGAAACCGGGGCTTTGAGAAAGTCTAGATAAAAAAGATATTGGCTAATGACACACACAACAGTCCGAACCTTATAAATATCGACATGAATCTCCAGATTCTCCATTGAGATACACTTAAATGTCAAAGCATTTTCCCTCTGGTGATTATGTTATTAATTCTCAAAGCCTTTTCTCTTGATGTTATTAGAAGAAAATTGATGTTAGTCACTTTTGGTTAACTGTGGCAGTTGTCACAATTCTGTTTAGTAAAGGACAGATATCTCAGGCTGTTGCACTGACAGGCTAGTAAGATACAGGGTCCCCGGCGGTCCGAACAGAGTCTGGGTCCGGAGAGGCTTTTCAAAAACTTTCAGAACTATCTAAGAAAATCAAAAACTTTTTAGAACTATCACTACAGAATGAGAATAGATAAAAAAATTGTTGGTCACGGTATTTAGAATATGACAAACTGATAAATAAAATGGACGCGGATAGATAAGTACAATCCCCAGTTTTTGAGTCCCAGCTTTACCGTGTACAGACAACATACCTGAAAAATCTTGTATCTATTGTGTAGGAGTTTTATTTCTGACTGTTATGTGAGTTCGTACCATTATACTGGGGGATTTTGTCATTTATATCCCATATTTTGCCACGTATAATAAGTTCCTTGTGGAATGAACAGGTAAGACAGCGAGTTGCACCTGGAACTTCTTACGCTTGCGTTTTTTGGATAGGAATGCTCGGCCTAATCATGTTTACAAATATGATTCATGTGTCCCGCTACTGCTGACTGAACAAACCGTACGAGGAAATACTAGCCTTAGGGCTCTGAGTTTATAAAGTACAGGCGTTGTTATTAAGGAATAGCAATATACTCAGATAAGCTCTAATAAACAGTGAATTAACTTTCGTAGACCGCAAAAGCCCTTGCTTGGTCTTGTTTACCGGAAACTTTCTCCCACATACAATGGATGGCGTCCAAATTCTAATTCAACTTGCTCTTGCAAGAGGGGCCACACTCTTTTAATTTCAGTAATGTTAGTCACTTGAAAATAAGAGGATTCTGACCGTTTTCGTGCTTAACAGTATGCGTGTCAAGTCTTAAACATCTGTTTAAAAGGTGTCTTGTTAGCATTTATCTATTTTAAAGTAATTCATCAGTATTATAATTCACTGACATTGCTGAAAGACACAAAAAATTTATCTCAGTTGCAACCCTCTGCCAGGCAACTGCTATTTTTCAACTGCCTTTAACAGCTTTTTTCCGATACCTACTAGTATTTTAAAATTCTATTGATGCACTGTCGTCAAACTATGTAAACTGAGTTTTCCATTTAAAGCCTGAATAAGGTCTGAAAAAGCTTAAGAATATGCCTGAGTAGTTCACACAATCTTGTCAGCATGGAAAATACGGAAATAAAACCCTTACCTTAGAAACTGAGATAAAAACAAACTCTCGGATTATTGTTATACAATTTCAAGGAAGCAGCCGGAATTAGCGGTTAATATGCTTTAACGTGTATATTGTAAGTAATTGGTCAAAGGTTTAATTATTGTTTAAACGTTCTGCTTTGATGTATCGTACAAACAAGCTCTGTTATTGAACCAAGGCCAAGGCTAAAGATGAAAAAAACACGGTGCCATGTGAAAGGCCTCTGAAAGAACCTACTAAAGAAGTTTCACTTGAACGGTCACACCGGCTAACTTCAACCCTAGCCCTGTCTGAAAAAAGAAGTTCAATCTATATCAGCTTTTGGAGAGTAAACATGAAAGGGCTAAAGCAAAATGACAGAAATTAATCAGTCGCGTGAATCAAGGTAAACAGGATGTATGCGAATTTAGACACAAAAAGGTTGTCCGCTGTAACTGGGGTTAGTAAAGGTTTATCAGATTTCGAATTCCCGTTGTTTTCTCTCTGTATGAAGAATAATTCAGTTTTATTCTTCACACAAATCCTGATACATTTATCACGCCTCATATTTCTAGATCGTTTCAGTGACAGCCCTGGGCTGGTTTGCCGTCAACGCCTTTGCTTCCTTATTGAATCTTTGAAGGATTCCGCTGGTCGGCTTGACGTACCCACGAATAGGTCACCTCGTAACCCACAGTCAGTCACTTTTTCCGTTCCGCGGACTATTGTAGTCAAGTAGTATCCAATGTCTTTCCTTTTACGTAGGGCTTCTCTACAGTGACTACGTTTCTAATTTCCTGATTTTATCGTGTTTATTAATAAGTGCTAGACTGAACAACAGGCAACTGAATCAGTCTCCATTATTTCAAACAAGTGTTGAGATATTCTTATGGTCTACCCAAAACGAGTGAACCTTTCTCGAGTTCTACAATGGCGGGAGTTATTCGTCTTTTCATCTTTGGGTACTTTGTCAGAAATTTGCGAACGCTTTACGTTTTCATGTGACTATTACTTGATATATTTGACAAGGATCATTGGAATTGTAAAACATGTCAGTCACGAAACAGTGACAATTTTAAATCAGACGGATCCGTAGCAGGAAACAATTTCAAGGGGACATCCTTGATTCCAATGATTTACCGAGGTAGAACCCCGGCTGACCGGCCATAAAATTCCAATAATCAGCACCTCTGTTTGTAGGCCCATACCGTAAACTTCCCATTATAAACCCCGCCAAGTTATAAGCCCCCCTGCCCCCCCATTTATGGGCCCATCTACCCGTAAACCAAAGGAATACACCCAGTTTTAATACCCCCTTTCACAAGCCCTCTTAAAACCCCTTACGAAGTTGTATAACCCCAGGGTTTTAACTCGGAAGTTAACGGTACCTCTGAATATATTAAAGCCTTCAAAATTCGAAAACAGCAAAAATGCCCCCGATCATATGTAATTGAAACCATACATGATACAGCATTGGAACTGTCACGAGACTGTAAAACAAGAGGTGAGTCAGTAATGACGTACAAGTTAGATTATGATGAACTTTGAGCCACCGTATGACTTACAGTTAACTTCAGCATGAACTATTTACCCTTTAAACCCAGACCAAAATTTGAATTCTCATTTGTTGCCCCTAGTCATTTCTTACAGAAGTAGTGGGGAGAAGTTGATAAAATATCAAGCAAATTCATCTTGTATGATCATGTCCGTAATTCTCATGACCAGTCTGTTTTACAAACCAAATTTGATGCTGATCACTCTTACGGATTAGGGAAAGTTCATTTAATATGACGAGGGGGGGGGGGAAGAAGATATTGAGGGGGGGCGATTTTTAGACACCCGAAGGGGGGCTCTTTGTTGGGATTGACGGGGTTCCGATTTGTGGTCAAAACCAACCGACTCATGGTTGGTTTTCAACAAACCTACAAACCAGTAGTCTCATTTTTTGTTCATCCCAAAAATACTTTGTTGTATCGGTATTCTATTTGTCTTTAAACCATTGAATAAATTATTTAGTGTTGTTGTGTTTTTCAGAAAAGGTGGCATTATAAGAAGGATGTCATTGTCAGTCATCAATTTCTAGTTAGACCAAATCCAAATTTGCGTCGAGGAAATTGGGTCAAGAGCCGACAGTGGTTGAAACAAAACCAGTGTTCAGAGTAGTGATAAACAGTGTTGTTGTGTGAAGGTAGCATTATAAGAAGGATGCCCCCAGTCAAACGGACGCAAAATCATTGTTGGATTGCAAAGGGTGAAATGTTCAATAAAAACAGTCCCCCGCAAACGGACGCAACATTGTTGGATTGCACGGGTGAGAATCAATAAATGTCCCCCAAAAATAGAGTTCAAATAGTTAATAACAAGATGCGGCATCTCTTTAAAATTATTGAATTTTTTACATTCCATGCAGAAATGAAAGTTGCCACTTTTTTAGCCAGGACTTCGTCTCTGGTTCATAGTTATCTTTGTACGGCGAAGGCGTGGATACATGCATGAATGCGCAGCAACTATGCTAGGCGACGAAAGGGACCTTGGGAATTGCGAAGGTGGATTTTAATGTCATTTTAATAGTCCCTTTGCTTCTATATTACAGTCACAGTGCAACAAATCGTCGGTTGTTTTGTCAGTTTTAAATGATGAAATCAGGCATGAAGCAGTACTCAAGAGAGACGTTTCCTCATACGCCGGTTGTCGCTTTCAGTCTGACAAAACAACCGATGATATTTTGCATTGTGACTGTATTATTTTCAAGAAGAGCGACTAATAAAATGACACTAAAATCAATCATCGCAATTCGCAAGGTCCCGTTCTTCGTCTAGCATAGTAGCTGCGCATCCACGCCTTATGTACAAAGATAATGACGGTCAAGAAACCAGGGGAACCTGACCGAACTTGGCTATGAACCAGAAACTTTCATTTCTGCATGGAATGTGAAAAATTAATTTTAAGAGATGTCGCATCTTGTTATTAACTATTTGAACTCTATTTTTTGGGGACATTTAGTTATTTTCACTCGCTCAAAATTAAATAACCTAAGATTCACGTTTTTGATTCAAAATAAGAGATATCCTACAGTTTTCACTGATTATCTCACCGTGTGATCATTAATAGAAGGAGAGAAAAAAGAATGGAATTCTGAACGTATTCAAAGGTTGCTTTTGTACGGCAGGTTCACGCATTTCCTTTGAGTTTCGAATTTGTCATGAGATAATTTCAGTTCAACGTTTTCGTACCTAGGCCATATTTACTGGAGAAAATTGGTGGGAATTACTGGAGTTGCGGTCGACTTACAAATGTTTGGCTAGGTACGTCAAGGGCATGAAACAAAGACAGATGAATTTCCCCTGTTATAGTCTCCTATGATACACGAAATGTTACAAGGATCCTTTTTTTTCAAACAATTATCCCCAATCTCCAGCTAGGCTTGACAAACGAACTATAGTCACTACAGTGCAACAAAAATAATTATAAAATGCGTTAGAATTGAGCGGTAATTCCAAATGAAATATTCTGTAGTGTTCCCTCTCGGATGAGCTAATTAATATTTCTCAGCTGAAGCCATAATTATTAATAACTAAGCCACCCGAAAGTGAATAAATTTATAACGGCTTAATAAGGGCTTGAAGTTATTCCTGATCGCAAGCTCCAAGGCTTTCTGTGAAATCTAGGTAAGACATATTTATTTGATAATATTATTCATTTTTAAAGGTTCAGTTAATAACGAACCAAGTTGAGTTTATATGTCTGGGCTCTCTTGCGTGCACGAGTAAGTGGAATTTAAGATATCCATCCCTTATATTTGTACAGGACGATTCACTTACCGTTGAAAACGGTGATTAAGTTCAACTGCAGTTTAATTCACTGGGTTTATTCTTTGTATTTTGCTGTTCAGTCTCACAAAAAGAAAACTATTTAATTCAAAGAAAGCATGACTGGCCCGGCATTAAAAATAATAATAAAGAGGAAAAATACTAGGCTACAGTATGTAATTTTGCAATGGATCGGACATAGTTGGAATTGGTTAACGCGGCGTACTAAAGGGAATAAAGAATGATTAAAAATGAATTATTAATCGATAACCTGCCGACCTGTGTTGAAAAATAAAATATAGTACCACAGTGGAGAATTTTTTTTTGGCCTTGAATTATAACTTACGAGTCTGTTATCGTCTTTTCCTTGTAACCCAAAGCTGTTAATTGATCAAAATAATCATTAAAATGCGGCAATATTTTTTGGGGGGAAAGATATATATCCCTGAACGATAAACCTGCATGGAGATAAGCTAAACAGTCACATTTGAGAAAAGCTATCCTACAATATGTCGCTCGAGTCGTACAATAACAGAAAATGCTCTGGCAAGTGCCTTTGGCAGATTCTGTTTTTGTATAAAATTAAAATTAAATGAAACTTTTACGAAAAGCAACAAACAGCCGGTTTCCGCAAGTGTAGCTTCATAATTTAGTGTCCGAGTTAACAATAACAGTTACTCTCCTTCCCCCGTCTGCCAGTCAATTCAAGCACATAGTTTGCACATAGTTTCAAAGGGAATTAAAATTGGTGATATTATTATATCTGTGATATTATTAGCGAACACAAGTTACAACTCATGATGAATTATGTTACAACTTATGCTGAATATAGAAGACAAAAAATGCTCTGAATAAGCGTCAAGGTTTTATCATCTCGTTTTTTAATGTTCATTCGTGCTGCTATATCCCTTTCATCTACAACGCAGGAATGACAACTTATAATATTTGACAAATGATATTACAAGAGAATAGATTAAAGTTTCTTCAAAAGATTGAAAAATGATTACTGATAAACACTTTTAAAATGCTAATGCAGGCGAATTTACAAATTTAAAATAGGGCAGGTGCAATATACTTTGTTGACAACTGTTTATGCGATAGACATATCTGGCGCCTTTTCGTAGATCTTGTGTACCACACCACGCCCGGGGGTGCTTCTGGGAAATCTTGGTGGGGGTGTGCTGCCCGGTACTCCAAATCCAGACCCTGTTTCAGACCCAAAAATGTCATTTTCCACACTCGTTTTCAGACCTCGCCTCAAACATTATAGGCTCGCATTCAGACCTGAAATTACTTAGATTGGAGCACCAACAAAAAGATGTCTTAAAATCCATTTCGAATTCGCATATTATCTTTCTTTCTTAATCATTTGGAATTGAAACAACTGAAACGTTCACACGTTCCCATAGTTCCCTCGAAAACCATACCCGATTCCAGACCAAAATATGCAAAGTCTACCCCCGTTTTCAGACCGAAACGGCACATAAACCATACCCTTTGGGGGGTTGTGGGAACGTGCCTTTTTGGCTTATGCTGGTAGGGGAGTACCCCCCACCGGGTACCACGACTAGTACAGAGGACACTCTCGTAAGCGGACACCACCCTCCCGGCAGTCGAAAAAAGAGTCCGTAACAGGAGCTGGCCGCTTATGGGAATGTAAATATGCAGAGTTTTTATGGTAGTTGAGAAAAACGGGGTTTTGTGAAAGTGGCAGTAAGTAGAGCTGCCCTAATTCGCTTACGAGAGACTGTCCGTTGGGAGAGCTTCCACTGCATTGATAAAATAGGATTTCAGCTGCGAGAATTATAGCTGACGTTCCGTATTGGGTGTTTGAGCCCACAGGTGTTCTTATGATAAAACAGCTCCTAAAATTCGTGATATTTACTACTGAACCACCTACTGTACAGCTAGCTACTGCACTAGGGAGTTACCGTAAAATTCCGAAAATAAGCCCCGAGGCTTATATTTTCAAAGGCCCTTTTTGAGAGGCTTAGTTTTGGAGGGGATTATATTCGGAGGGGCTTATCTACGGAGGGAAATTTGCGTTTCAAAATCGATTGGGCTAGCCTTATAGTTGGAAGTAAATTTACTGTTTTTGCTTTGTTTTACTTTGTAGTTGAGGGCAATTTTCTAAGTACAAGCCTCCCGGGGGCTTATATTTGGAGGAGCGATTTAACGGAGGGTTTTTTGCGTTACCGGTTTGGGGGGCCTATAGTTGGAGGGGCTTATTTTCGGAATTTTACGGCAAAACAACGACGTTTTTGAGCGACGCACAGCAACCTGCAGTGCACTTTTTGCAATCTTGGGCCGTCGTTTTGAACAAATTTTTTAGCAGATCGTCTCTACCATTGTAAAGACACTTAGCAATACAAATTTGTTGGCGTCAAGGCATAATGAAAAGGAAAAGGACTCACTTCTGCTTGACGCTTGTTGCTGCTTAAACTCCCTACTACTGCAGCTGACGTCACGGCGACCATGTTGATTGACAGGAACAAAAGCGTTCCTTTTTTCATGCAAATTCTGCGGAAAAATTTTCTTTTGTTTTGCCAACCTGACATGGCCGCCTTGTTACCTGGTGGCAAATCAACAATACAAACCACCCACTGCAAAACAAAGGAGACTCTGTTGATTACGGATTTAGAACCTTCCCTAAAATGAAAATGTCAGAAGTGAAAAACTTTACCTTTTACAGTTTTCATGCTTTTTGTTTTATATACAAATTTTCCTACCATATCTCATCTTTTGTTTCATTAATTAGTTACTTATTCTACATATAAATTTCTGTTGTTATTTAACGGTTTATTACAGTCTGAAGATGTATGTTGGAACATACGAAACGTCCAGTTAAAGTCATTTTTCTTTCCAGAAATGCAGTTATCATGCATTTATCATGTTTATCACCGCAGTTTGCTTTTTCTTTCTTCTTAACAATACAAAATTATCGCAGTTTTTTGCCTACATATGAAGTAATGTATTTTAAGCCATTTTCAATGTTATGTTAATTTACTTCATTTATTATTATCATTTATTATTCAGAATCCTTGAAATTTTTGCTTGTAAAATCAGGACTCCAGAAAAATTTTGCTTGTGCAATCCGGAATCCCACTATATTCATGATCCAAGTTCCACTTACAAAGACTAGAATCCGGTAATGCAGAATCCAAGACAAACAAATCGAACATTTTTGGAGTCTCAAACTCCCTCAAACCTCTTGCGATTCAGTAACCGGTCAGTGTCTGCAAATAACTATATTTATATGGGTCACAGGTATACCTATTCAACAGGTTCGGGTTTTAAAATTTGTCTTCGGGCCCGAAAAGTTTCCAGGCCTTTCGAGAAATTGGCCCCTGGCCTATAGGTGGTGTCCAGTGCAGCTTTGAACCCCGTCACGAGCAAATGACGTTTGGAGGAGGTTACGATCACTAGCCTGCGTCGCAGACACTTTAAACCTCTTGTTTTTTCTACACGATGCGTGGGACGACTGCAACGCAGGCGGCAGTTACTTTACTTTTTGTGTTTAGTGCTAGTCTTAGCCTGCGTTACAGGCGTTCAAAAAGGGAGGGGAAAGGGAATTTGGGTGCAGCAGAGCCTATCAAAAATTTACTAACATCCGGTAGATCTGGTCGAAGAAACCGCCGAAATATTGTTCGAAAAAATCAATACAGGTTGTTATCAGTTTTGCAGTAGTCTGGACTTCTCGTTTTCTGTAAATGTACGACTGTTATCTCCATGCAAATCCTTCTCGTTCCAAATCTGTTAGCAGGATATCTTTCTTTTTTTTCTGAAATCCCCCAACTACCCTCCCCCACCTCGAAAAAACAAATGGCAGGCCCTTAAGGTGCTTGCTAAAATTTTATCTTGATACCTTGTAAGGGTGATGATTACATTCTGAAGGCACGCACATAGACATGCTGGCGCACTTTACCAATTGTTATGTTCTCGCGAACAACCAGTAGCAATTACGACCCTATTTCCCTGGCAAAAACCGGCGTTCCTAGCCTTAACGTTTTTGCACTGGGTCATAAAAAATAAAATAAAAATAGACTTCAGTTGCCTCCATGATCGTTATCATTTCCCTGTTTGTGTATCCTTTGTTGGGTTGTTGTGACCGCCGGGTCTTAGCGGATAATAGAGGACCAGCATGGACCACTGAGTTAATTAGCAAGCTTGTGCGTTTTTGCCTCTGACATTCTCTTGCATTCGTGATCTACGGATGAGGATAGGTTGTGTTCTTTTGTGTACTTCTATGGGCTTCCGACTTTGCGCGGATTGCGATGCACAAGAAAGGCTATTTTAGAACGTAAATCGAACAACTTGCCTCCCACAGAGTTACGCGATCCTTGAAGAAGGCCAGAATGAGAGATGGCTTTGATAAATGACTGTATGATGAAAATTTTTAGAATAATTTTCCTTGCATAAGAACTATTTTAGTGGGGTGAGCAAGTCAAAATTCGTATAGTACTTGCACTGAATGGAACCCCGTGCTGCCAAATTTTGGCAGCACGTGGAGACGTTTATTTGTTTACGTAAAATTTATTTCACTATTGTATTCGGTCCTACGGGTCATTTCCTCGCTTACGGCAATGAAACTGTCGTTTATTTTGTCTATATTAAGTTATTGGGCAACAAAACCGGGTGAGTTACTATTAAAATCCACAGGTGTACGTCGGTCAATGGTCGGGTCGCACAGTATTAATCCCCCGGTATTCATATTAATTTCAAGTTGTCAAAATCGAATTCGTCAATTCTTTTCAATCGGAAAAGTTTTAATGTGCGAATTTTCAGAATTTTTTAAAGTACATCAACTTCATGCAAGCAGTATTCAAACCTTTCTTTTCTCTTTTATCTTAAACGACCTGCTGTCGCAAAACAAACAAAAAGTGTAGTTTTCATATTAAAATCAAGTTTATTGGGCTTTTATTCATGGTGCATGCAAGTGCGAAGATTTTCCTGTTTCATTTTCTTGTACAAATCTCGAACTGAAGAATATTAGTTTTGACAGAAGTTAATTTTTCTGCAGGTAAAGTGCTTTAAGAGAAGAGCTTTAAGCTTTAAGAAGTTCTTCTGGCATGTTTGAAATTTAAAAGGTGTTTTTCTGTCATTTTGTCTTCCGTCGTCGATTAATAATGTAAGTTATCTAATGGAAATAGCAGGTCGAGATCCTTATAATCGTCCATTATTACTGGTGCCTTTTTGAAAAAAACGCAATTTCATACGGGATATCCATAGTGACCTGTCGTAACCGATTATCTTGTCCCATCTCTCCCACGTGCCACAAAACGACCACTCGTCGCTTCTGCTATCACTGCACATGCATTACAAACACGGCGACTTTTTCTGCTCGCTCCCTGCGCGCTCCGGACTCGGGCCGAACACTACATTTTTTCAGTCAGTCCCGTCTAAGCAAGACTGAGTGTGCAACTGGAAATATACAAAAGTTAAACCCGGCACAAGTTTAAGGTAAATCATGTTATAAAACCTTTTTTTAGGGTATTAATTTTCCAGTAATTTATATAGCGCGTTCTTGAGGGACGTTAGCAACAGTCGCTGTCGATAGGGTTTAATTGAATGGGTCATTCTTAGCAGCCCAACAGTGAAACATTAATTAATTGCTTTATTCACAGATAACTGAAACGAAAGCAATTTGATCGAAAGAGCTAGTCGTTATAAGTAGGGACAACAGTTCTTTCACTTTGTGGCTTTGAACGGTAAGCTAATTTAAACGAGATGTTTTTTTAATAACTTGACCCGGTTCTAATGGCAACTGACCTTGCTTTTATTGATCGATAAACACGCCTTAGTCAAGTGAAATAGGTCATAACAATGATCCCGCCTATAAAACAGCACAGTTTGTTACACCTTGCGCGGGATTTTAGGAACCACCAGATATTTTTAACCATAGTCTAAACTACATTATATATGTAAATATTTGTCTCTAAATTTTCTCTCTCAGCAATGACCCTGCTCATCGGCATCGATTATAAAACTTTCACTTACACTGTAACTTGTGTAAACTGAAGAGAATACGGATTGAGTCGCTCATTTTTTTCTCAAGCGCGTCGTCTCAATGAATTTCATAATAGCGGCCCAAGGAAAAATCCTTAATTTTAACCCTTAGTTTAAGCTTGTCACCTATATGTCCGTTTTTCCGCGGAGATTATCATTTGTTATTCGCAGGTTGACTTATTATGAATTCATTACAAAATTGCGAGAATCAAAAAGGAGTTTATAAACTATATTAATTTTCAGCCCTTGTGTGACGTCACTGAGTTTTTTTTTAATTCTCCCCGTTATCGTTATATTATTACCGATGTTTTTTGTTTTGTTTTTTAACAATTTTCGGTTATTTTCCGATAAAATCGTTAAGGCTCCCACATATACTTTGCCTTTTGGTCTACTCCAGTATACGAGTGGAAAAACCTTCTACACGAACAAAATAAATTCAATATTTTATAAATGACAATGCTAAATAGATACAGAATATTATTCCTACTAAGCAATAGGCTACAATCAACTCATCTAACACCTTTTAAAGACCATACTTTATGCACATGGACAAAGAGCACTGGCCACCATACCAGTAAGAACAATAATGCAACAACTTCCCAGGTCCTGGCGGCCCTTTTTCGAGGCAAGAAAGTGTAACAGGTACTGAACCGATTTGATTTAAATAATACTTCTTAGTCCTTTTGTAAATAATCTCACACCTGGACTGCTTTTTTAATTTGTGGTGAGAATTTATATGAAAAAAATATTATACACGCAAAAAAGACTTAGCCACGCTTACGTACGTGCCACTCAGCAAATTAATTTTGATCTCCTCCTCTTCTTCTTCTTCTTCTTAGTCATCAAATTATGACAGAGATGTTTGGGTCCAAGGAGGATTTCGGTTGCCCGAAATATTCATCGGCAGACAGTTACATAGGAATTTTGTCTGCCTTCAACGGAGAAATTCAGCATTCGAAGCTTTCCCGCAACAACGATTCATTGGTGAGTTTAATAAACCCGATACCGAGCCGCAATTTTTTTCATTTTGTTCATTCAGCGCTCTAATGTAAACACTATTGAATTTATACACGGGGATGGCATTGTGCGACGATTAGAGATGTCAAATTGTGCCATTTTATATCCTTATCGCTCTTTGAAACTGCAAAACGAAACGTTTCCAAGAGGGGTCTTTGATCTGCTCGTGAAAGTAGGTGCTCAATTTTATTTCTAGTTTTAACTGGAAGTACTTAGGAAACTGAGGTCAAACAGTTACTCATTAAATGGCCTCCGCTGAGCTCGGTGAAGAATGGTTACAGCACCTAAGCGTAAAGCTTATTCGAAGACGTGGCACTGACCACTCGCAAACCGATTTTCTTAAATCCGACCGACATTTTCAGAATCGCGAAAAATTAAGCCAAACTACCAGTGATTAATTAAAAGCTGATGATTAGGAAAATGTTGGCCAACACCAGCTATTAAGTTAACTTCTAAGCCACGTCAGTGAGGCGCTCATCAAACTAAATTGTTTTGACGACCTAAATTGAAATGTATCTTATATGGATTTTACGCCGCGAAGGATCCCATAGAAAGTTATTAATTTGATTGGACACGACTTGAGGTAAAATACACCTTAATATTTGGTATTTCCTTTCCCTGTGGCTTTTTTAATATCAGTTTCTGCCTGACAAACATAAGTGCTTCCGATGTTTACAAACGAAAATTATACTTTTTTTCAAAATTGTTGCATTTAATACGTACATTTCTCAGGTAACAATAAATTCGTCGTAAGTAATGTAACGCCAGAATTGTTAAATCCTTTTAGAATACGAATCTTTTGTTGGTGTATTGACAAACAACAGCTATATAGTTTGTCAAAAGCATACTGAAAGGACCTTGACTAATCTTCATAGCTAAGAGATTAACATTTTTTGTCGCTGATTATCTGACAGGAAAAAACAAGACAAATAAAAGATCGTCTCATCAAAATAGATACACAGCTTAACTTTTCATTCTAATTGGAGCGTTCTGAGGCCACAAGTTTTAATAGGAAAGAAGTTTTCTTATCGCATGGGTGGCAGCTTTCATTATTATTAGCGCGTGAAAACAGTCGTAGATAAGGAAAGAGAGATATTACTAGATTAATTATCGCCAAGCTCTTGCATTTGTTATTCACAGCTGCGTTCGATCGTTGATTCTCTTCTTGTTTGACGATAGAACGTATAATACAGTTACGCTTTTTGAATTAATCGAACCTTAGGCGCAGTAAAAGGCCGAATTAATCGTACTTTATGTCCGAACAGGTATCAAGTACAGACAATCGCGAGTTTTTGTGGTAACTTATTCTAAGAAAAAAATAAAAGAAGAGGCGACTCGATTTTGTGTTTCTTTTATAAAAGCTAAGAAGTTGAAGATTAATAATATCGAAGGAACAACAGCGATCTCATTTTTGAAGGAAATAATCGAGATCTAGGCAAGACAATTCCTTTCAATTTTTTTTTGTTTACAAGCTTTGAATGCATAACAAATAAAGATCCTACGGGAAGGTTGATTGGAAGACATTTCTTTATTAGTTCGGAAAAGAATTAATTGTAATCTCCAGAAAAACATTAATAAATGTGATGATTAATTTTACTGACGCGCCGAGTTTGGCGTCACGTGGTAGCAGTTAATTGGCGATAATTAATTACAATAAGAAATGAAATCGCCGTGCTGACTAGTGCGCATGTCGTAATTGTCGATTTCAATGGAATGCCCCATCAAAGATGTGTCAGTCGATGTTTGAACTCCAACTGGTCGAGTTATGTCTTCGGAAATTTTGGCGGCCAATGCATATCACTTCCAGGAAATAGGCTTTTTATGAAACCCCCGCGATTATTTAAATTAAATTTCTGTTAAGCGGAGCGGTGCATCGATGGAAAAGGGGTCATCACTGCAACAACAGCGGAGCGTTGTAAGTCCGTGTTTTGTCGTCCACTGATTTGCATTTTCATTTGATAGCTAATCTATTGATTAATTAAAATGGAACGTATTTATGATCTCGTAGCCCGAGGTCGCGTTTCTTTCATTCAGCTCTTCCTGTGTTTGTAACGTTGTAAAATGCTCTTGCAGTCCGCCGATCGAGATGGGCTGCGGAGTACAGCAGACCGGGAGATCAGGCGGGAATCTTCATCTCCGCACACTTTCAAGCAGCACCGTTCATCCTTGTCAAGCGGATCCGTGGAAAGCCGGATGGCGGAGCTTGATGATATTCAACGGTCGATGGAAGTGGAGGAAACGGAGGAAGAAGGTTTTGAGGAGGACAGATTCAAGAGAGAGCACTACGACACTGATTCGGACAGTGTTTCCAGTGGGCGCGAGGGAGCTTCGTATACGCAACACTCGGCTCGCGTGCAGAGCCAACAACCCCCTTCACCAGTGGAACAGGCTTACATCAACAACAATGTCAGCGGGATAGACAACAGAATTCCTGCTCACGAATGGACTTTTGAAGAACAATTCAAGCAGGTAAGTCCAGATGTCGTACCAAATCTTAAATTATATGATTTTCTAAATCAGATCAAGAAAGAAAAGCAATCGGTTTCGGGTTTGGGTACCGTCTTGAGGACCGTCATTAATCAACTTGCTTCGCACATACAAAGTGACGCGGCTCGAGCGAATATTAATAATTATTGTTCCAAACAAATTCAGCTTTCATGGTTTAATCGATTTATTCATTTTCGCATTCTATTGAACTGAATTCGTTTTTCTAGTATCGCATGACTTTCGAATAAAGCATCTTTCCAGTTCTTTGTTGCTCGACTTTAATCTCTCAATTTCAAATCGCTCTTTAATTTAAACGAGTTATGAGTAGCGGTGCATATTTTGCCGGCGAATTTGACACGGCGATTTTATTTCATTGTCACATTTTGACATCGATCGTTTCAATTTTCTGTGTTTACAAGGCCGCTCCCGAGGGCGATCTTTCCTGCTCCAGGCGACCAAAATAAATTCAGAGCTCAAAATAAATTGTAGTGAAGACTGCAGGATTACACGGGTGTGTAGAAGTTATGATACTGGCCACGATAAAACGGTGATTTGGGAGTTTGACGCGCGAATATCGGGTTTATTGAATTAGTGGGTCATAGAATGTGTAGTTTTAATTAACCTATGATACAAATTTGCATACCAGGCTTATCACCTGGGTGAAATGAAATATTGTATTTGTCCTGAGAAATTGAAACGATGGGGATATTCACTGCAAACAGGAAAACTTGATAATTAAACCGCAAGTTTTTTTTTACCGGACTAACAGTCGATGACATTTCTATTTTCATGGCTTGTGGCTATAGGTTAAGCAACAACTTGCTATTATCTATAGCCTACAAAGATACATTTGAGCTACAAAACAATACTGCCTTCAATTAATATTTAATAATAGACTAGAGTTAATATAGGCCCTTGGCAATTGGGAACATAGATTACAGCTCTTTTTGGGTGGCAGGTTGATATACTACCACCTGTCATTCATGCAGCCTGTCATTTTATGCCTTAATGGATTTTTATACGTTCTTATTGGCTGCTTCATCACTGGATAGATATCTACTAGTTTTGAAATCAACTACAAATTCTCTCCTTTGATTATCAAAGTTAGAAAAAGGAGAGAAGTCAATGTACTGTTGTGGCTTGGTTTGTATGATCATCCATCCAACTTAAAACTGCTCAATAGCAGAGAATAATTTTCCACCACTTGAATCAATACTAATTTATCTGGCCTTGCATTTCCTTTTCCGTTTTTTGTCAAAGACTAATACATTATACCTCAATACGCCTCAACATTCTTTTTTTGTAATTAAAACTTTGAAGTTTCATAGACAACAAAGAAAGATTTAATGAAGTTATTATTCTTGCTGTTTATTCGTTGCAAGAATTTAGTATCCCGTGATACTTGAGCTACTGCTATATTCCTGCATTATTTTCATTTCTACATAATCATTGACCTGGCTTAATAAGCTTTAATCTTCTTAGACGTTTGTAACAGGTTCACTGTATTAATTTTGTAATGTTCACTGTCATGTGCACATTTCTCACATAAACGTTAAAGTTGTAAGAAAATTTCAAAGTAAGTTGCTTGACTTGTTGGTCTCTTGACCGACTCAAGTCCTTGTTCAGTGGTTCAGGTTGTATTATTTTTTTACCAAGTTTTTAATACAGTCTTTGTGTCATTTGATATTTTGTTTGGCTTACATCTTATTCCAGTGTCTCATTAATTTATCAAGCATGAAATGAGTGCAATACACAGAGAAACCTGTTTTTTAACAATTAAAAACTTGCCTTCCACTAACAGTTATGTTCGCTTTGGCCTGGGTTTATAATCAAATTGGGTGTAAAAAAAGAATATCAGCAGTTACTAGAAATTATATGGCTTTTTAGTGTAATGATTATTAAATTGGCCATTCCTGTTGAAGGATAATATTCGCCACTACAGTGTATGAACATAGCTTGGGAAACACAATAAGATCTATATCACTGGCTGAAGTAGTAAATTAAGAATATTGTGTTTAAATGTCCACAAAATCAGAAAACTGTATTGTTTTTGTGCTGTGGCTGCCAGAAATAACTAAGGTAGCACTTAAGTGCATTGAACCAATTTTTTATCCCTTAAAATACTGAATTCCAGTATAGATTAACTGCGACAGCATCACATTTAAGTAATAAATTGTTTTAAGTGTGAGCTATGCAGTAATCCCTCAAGGCGTTTATAATACTGGCAAGTATTTACGATAAAGTACCATTTAATTTGGGTCAGAACAAGAGTAAAACTGGACTAGTCAGCAACTAAAAATGAAAGTTATTTTATGGGATTGTTTAGTTGTAATGCAATATCAAGTTAAGAATGCTAAGAACTTCAATAGCATGTTAAAAATAGCCTCAAATTTGTACAAAGTATTAATTTTACAGTGTTATTGTCTGGATGATGTTTTTAATCAATTATGTCCCAGTGATTATCTTTTGACTTCCATTGTTACAATGCCTGAATATAAAAGACCTGTCTAAGCTAGATGAGATTAACAGTACACTAAAAACCAATTTTGAATATTTCCATGATCACTTGTGTGATTTCTGAAAACAATACCAAGGTCAACGATTGATATGGAATTTCTATGTAAAGAATTCAAGGCTGCTCTATTGCAGCAAATTTGTTTTGGTAATCACAGTAAACCCAGGTCAGTTGAAGAGTCTGTGTTGTCATAGCAGCATGTGTAACACTGTTTTGAAGTGGACACAAAGGAACATACCATAACAAGCAAGTAATAAAAAAGTCAACTTTTATTAACGATTTACGTGTAAACTGTTTATCAACTATTTTGAAATATTAATCTCACTGCAGTTGTTTGCAACTTTTCGGTAGGCCTAAACAAAAGGAGAACTATCATAATTACCAGTATTATTATTATTATTATTAATATTATTATTATTACTATTATTACTATTTTAAAAATGAATTCACATAAATACAGAATTCATTGCTTATGCTGTGCTGCTGGAATTTTTCAAGCCTGTAAAAACAGTGTGATGTGACAGCTACTTGGGTCATCATATTTATGTCTTTTTTATGTTGAAAGGAAGCCAAATAGATCCAATTAACACTCACATATGCCCTTGCAGAACAAAATGGTATGACACCGTAGTAAATGAGAGAAAAATCAAAGCCTAAGACTGGATGTATTTGACATGCAAGTCAGCAACATTGTAAAGAACCTTCAATATTTTTTTTTGGGAATGTGACAATGCTGCAGTTCTCATGATATTAGATAGTGTTCACTCATGTGTGGTCAACTGTAAGACATTGCTCTGTTTCAGTGTGTACCCTGTGTAATTGATCATTTCAACAAAAATCCTGTTTGTTTTGTTTTTATACAATCAAACGTGACTATACCTGTGTGATTAAGTGCATAATGACATGCAAGCATGAGGAAGAATTTTACTGCATGTGTTTCATATTCAAGGGAATTAGTGGATCTCATTAACCTTTCAAGTAGAAGGGCAGAACAACTTGGGCAGCTAAAGATAGGCGGTCAAATATTTGTTTTTGGAAAGAGAGTTGAAGAGAACATGAAAACAGCCAAAAAATCGTGCCCTTAGCCTGCTGACTTAAATTAACGCTAATATAATGATGCCCTTGAAGTAATATACCAAAATCAAGAAAGAGCATTTTATTTAATTTCAAGATATCGAGTAGTGGGTTACAAAACAAGGTTCTGTTACAGTTGTTTTAAACCATTTTGTCTTAATGTTGGAAGAAAACTGGCAAAATACTCTTTTGAGTGCTTGAATAAACCCATAAACAAGCATATGGTGTAAATAGCGGATAATAATAATGTCTTTTATCCACCTTTGGCAGTATTTATAACATGAAGGATAAAAGGACTGGGCAAGTAACTGAAGCATGTAACTTAACTTTAACATATTACAGTCAACTCCCTATAGCAGACACTGTAGGGACCTCAACCTAGCATACTCATTAGGAAGAGTCTGTGTTGGGGGGAGTTTATTTCAGTCAAACTTCTGTATTTTATTTTTTTGGCCTTCGGAATTAGCTGCTCAGGTTGGTATTATCAGGGTGTCTACTATAGTGAGGTGTCCACAAGGCGAGACTTGACTGTACAGGGGATAAACATTCCAACTGGCTGAGGATTTGAACTCCAATATACTGAGAGACCAATAAATTTATTCAACTAGCAGTCAGAGCAGGTCACTGCTTACAGGGCTCGAAGTTATCTTTTTAGTGCACCTGCAAAATTTTGCTAGTAAGATATTTTTCGACTAGCAAACTGGTGACACCACAAGCAATTTATTTCCCTTTGTTTGGGAGACATGGATAATTCTAACTCGCAATCGTTTGCTAGTGGATATTTTTCTTACTCGCAGATTATCAAAATCACTCGCATTTTGCGAGTTTACAAGCGTTAATTTCGAGCCCTGGCTTAGCCATGCTGCCCCAAACACAGCCAAAGGCATGTTCATTTTAAAGTGACTTACTAGTATTCAGCAAGCAAACAAAGTCATGCCTGAAGCCCAAGCTGTAAAACTGATTTTCTTTGCTTCTTGAGTTTTGGTCATTAAATTTAAAATCTGCTGAAAATCTGCACAATTCAAACAGCCTAACTGGGTTTAATTAGGCATTGTGGCCTTCTGTCTGTTATGCAGTACTATACTACGGGGACAGTATTGAATAATTATTATATAAACGTGCATATAATAGCAGTTTTGACTCCTAGCACCATTGTTCATTCAGCAAAGCATAATTTTTGTTTTAAACTGACCTGAGTCTTGAATAAGGTGGATATTTCACAGTGGACAGGGCACTCTCTTGGCAAAACCCAAGGCATGACCTTTGTTCACAGACTCAAAGTATGAACTGCAATCGCATTGTCTTTTTTATTGACTTTATATAGAAAGAGATTAATGCAATAAGAGATATAAAAAGTAAGCCAGCTTACTCTGAGGACAAGAATTTGCTTTAGTTTACTATACTAGAATAGTGCAGTGTCCAATTGCAGCACTTCTGTATGACTTATAAGTTCAAACATAACTGCTGATGTGTTTGGGCAGAATGTGTTGCACCATGGAATAATGATATTACCGTTACATTGTTGTAAGCAAAGAATTGCAGCACATTGGTTTGCCAAAAGAGAAGATTGAGTGGGAAACTTAGAAGTGATTGAGCCATAGCAACAAAATAATAGCAACTATTGTTACAGTGTATGAGTGACATCAATTGTTCTGACAGGTCTATATGGCTTCTTTTGCAGTTGTATGAGTTAGGCAGTGAACCAGAACGGAAGGAATTTCTTGATGATTTGTTTACTTTTATGCAGAAAAGAGGTGAGTGAGTAAACGTGTTTTGATGATTTCATTTAAAAAGTGCTTAAAAATTGTTTGCGGTCGGTCTTTCAATGCCTGTTAATGATACAAAATAACACACAGGCTTGCAACTTGGGAACATAACATACATGGTGTCATACAGCATTAAAATAATTACTTTTAACAAGCTGTGCAGTGCCAAAAATGACATATCTGTTATTTATTCTCTTGAAAATAATGTGAAACAGCCAGGTATCTGAAAACTTTCCAGTTACATCAATCTTATTCTGATGTGGGTTTTTCTGGAATAAAGGTGATTGATATTTTTACTGGCCGTCCTGCTTACAGTGTCCAAAACTTTAGCCCTGCCCCTTCCTCCCCCCAAAATGGTTCTTGTTTACCTCACTCATGCCACGTGAATTCAAACTTTTTGGCTTGAGCTCACGTTGTTTGTATGTCCATTTCAGACTACATGTATGTGACGTTCTACTGAAGGAAATTTCCTTTCTTCATTTGCAAAATGTGCATTTGAATACTCATGAATAGGGTGAAATTTGCAAAAACCAGATCAGTCCAAGTTCTGAAATAAGCTTTCTAAATAAACAAATAACCCAAGCTAAACTCCCCTTAACTGTCTATTCCATTTCGCTTTATCTTTAAACTTTTTTACAAAGTTTGACTTTAGACTGTCCTTTTGAAATTTCAACCGACCTTTCACAGAATTGACAGAATTACTTGCCAGGAATGTTTCCTGAAATCACAAATTGTTCTCTCAACTGATTGTCGAATGAAAATGTAAGCAAAACACTAATTTACTCACCTGAAATGGTTTCTCAGACCTGTAGTCTGCTTTAGTAGTCTTTTAGTAACATCGTTAAGGCAATTCTCCAGGCTAAATGTTTCGTAACACTCGTAAAACGACGCAAACACTCTCTCCATTTGAGTAACTAAATTCAAAATGGTCGCTATCGTTCTTTCATCGAATTTCGCGCCCTTCTTGAGCATCCCGCCGCGAGAGCCTCAGCACCTGATTGGTTGATTTCTGTTATTAAAATCACGTGGATTGTCTATGATTTTTCTATTTTTTCGTCCCGAAAGTTGACGCAATTGTTAAATTTTTGACGCTCTTTCTTTGATGTATTTTTTAAGGTACACCAGTTAATAGAGTGCCCATCATGGCAAAACAGACTTTGGATTTGTTTAAACTGTTCAGACTGGTAGTTGAAAAAGGAGGACTTGTTGAAGTAAGTTGTTATGAGTGTAGTCTTTGTATAATAGTCTTCTCTAGCCTGCCCATTTCACAGTTAACAACTCACTAGTCATTTTAAACGCCATGGTCGTAAATAACAGAAATAAAGCTTGATGGTCGTCCTTCATAATTTCAGGTTATCAACAAGAAGATTTGGCGAGAGATTATCAAAGGCCTAAGTCTCCCAGCTTCTGTAACAAGTGCTGCCTTTACTCTTCGCACTCAGTGAGTATGAGGGTGTAGTATGTATCTTTTCTCGAAACCGTCGGAGAATTTCTTCGACAACTTTATAAATAAAAATTATCCCTTGGCAAAGTCAGTTCAGTCAACTCAAGATTAGAAGGTAATAAATTATCCAATTCACCCAATACCAAGACCTTTACCTTAAAGTCCACAGGGAGACGTTCCCGGCTCCTTGTCTAAATTGATCTATATTCTACATTATGAAAACAAAAGGCGAGCGATCGCATTATACTTTATTTTTAGCCTTCCACCGCAGACTTTCACGCGTTCGTAAGTCAAAGGAGAAATGTATCAAAAGTCAAATCATCCTCTGTTGCTGAGAAAAATAATGAAATCGCAAATTGTTTATTCCCAAGGTATATGAAATATCTTTATCCTTATGAATGTTCCAAGAAGAAGCTATCTACCCCAGCCGAGCTTCAAGCAGCCATTGACGGCAACAGACGAGATAGCCGAAGATCATTCGGTTCATTCCTGTCGCAGACCGTGCCTTCAGATGGTGGACGCCCGTACAGCAGTCCGAGTCCCACTACCACTCCTCCCGCATTTACTACAAGCAGTTCCCCGGGAATATCTCGTCGATCGAGCCCGGGTCCTGGTAGTGCTGCTTCCTCATCAAACCATGAAGTAAGTTTATTTCAGGCGTTCAGATAGTATGGGCGTTGCAAAGAGAACTCTGTTTCTCATTTAATTTCGCACCGCTCCCCGGCTACCCGAAAGCCTTGAGTAGGTTGGGAACGTTGCATTTCACTTAAGGTTTTTTGTTTGGAAAATTCAGTTCACAAAAGAAGACCAAAAGAAGGCTGACTCAAGAAACTGTTATTCTCACATACGTAAAAGTTACACATAATAATTATATACATTTCGAGGCCATACATCAGTTCAAGCATTATTAAATTGTAACACGCGCTTAGTAATTGCTTGATTGAAAACTCAAGAGGTTTCAGGGACTGTTGATAACCAAGGAGCAATTTTCAATTGTAGATTTATGCTCAATGTAATTTTTAGCCCGCAAAGAAGCTCTCTGAGGGCTCCGGAGTTGGGGAGAAAAAGGGGATACGTGACTGCAAGCTCTCGTTTTCTCCCGTCCACCAACCCAAAGCCCTCAAGGGAGCTTGCTCGCAGGCTATCTAATTATTATTGTTGCCCCTTTCGTGCTTAGGAAAAGAAACGACTGCTACGCAGGCCACAAAACCACAGTCTGCTTACAGTCTCTGTTCTTTTAAAGGTGCATGTACCTCCGTCGGTCCATGGCAACAACGGCGTTACGTTACTTCATTCTCCAGGCGTTGTCCAGTACAGCCCTAAACGTTCCTTGAGCGCGACCGATGTAGCGTCGCGCGGAGTATCTTCACCGCCGTCAGATGTATCACCTTCTGGCTCACCAGTCAAGAAATTCGCTGCCAGCAACGAACACAATAATAAACGAACGCCGAACCAACTACCATGGACGCATATCAAGATACAAACTCAACCTAAAGGTAACAAGTTAAGGATTGCCAGCACTAAGTTGTCTATCGGGGAATCATAAAATTCGCAAATGTGGCTGAAAATGTGCGTATAGTAAAATATAGATTTAACCAGGGCTAAAAGCGAAGCCTCCGGGGCTGCCTCTGTCAGGGGAATGCCCGGGTGTCCCATGAGTATCAGACTGTTAAAGCAGTAAGATAGAATGCTGTCGAAAGACTAGAATCACGTTAACTTTGAAAGGGTATGGGACAAAGAGAGGTCTAAAAAGCGCGAGCAGATAGTGAGGGGAGCCTGCGCAAAGGCTAGAAGAGTGCGGCACGACTCAAGTATTGCCTCAAGGCGTGGAAGAACATATTTCATGGGGGCTGAGCTGGTCATTAGTCTCTGCTAGCTAACTGCTGACAAGGGCACTCGTACAGAGTCTTAACTATCATGTTTGTGATCTACTCTTGTGCCAAAGTAAACATTTCATCTTTCTCTGAGTTAGCCTGAGAAAGCGTTTCGCGGGGATACCAGTGGTCTCGGTGAAGTCGCAGAATTTCGGATTTTTTCACTCAGGCTATCTCAGAATTGAAGGTGGTTGAATGTGTAATTCGCTCAATCCAAGTACACTGTAACTACTTCCCCTCCTCAGACTGTGAACCCTCTTGCCTTTTTCCTTCCAGGTATGGCTCAAAGCGGACAGTTTCAGTTTCCTGACATGGATCGGTCATCACGGAGCCGCGAGCAGAGGCAATTACCGCTGACCTTGCTGGATCAAGTGAGCGACAACTCATTACTGGTGTCTGTAGAACTCAATGGTGTTGTTTACCAAGGTGTCTTATTCGCAAGGCCAAATCGCCCAGATTCGCCAAAAAGTAACGAAGAATACTAACAATTTATTTCTAGTCGCCTAATTAATATAAGCCTAAGAATTTCGTCCACCCCTGATGTATATTGCTTTATGAATGCAATCTAATTTGTGGTTCTTTTACGTGTACAGTTCCTTTTGAATCGTCACGCATTCCTTTGATCAGTCTTGTGACTGAGACGTCTCACTTAATTACACTTAGCAGTAAGGATGGCGTAAGTTACTTGCGTAAAAATGAGCTCAAATTTGCAATGCTTCTGACTGAATTTATAATCTTTGGTACAGTCAAGTCCATTTACCGTAATCTCTCTAATTAGCCCTCCTCACCTTGAAAACCCCGTCACTATTGATCTCGCTCCCCCCCCTCCCCCCTCTTGTTTTTTTCAACCAAGGCCCGATAATCAGTGATTACCATGCCATGATTACTATTTGGGTACACAGCCAAGTGGTGTAAACAAAATTCATTGAAAACAGCAGTGCCTGTAATTATTATTTGCGCAAACCCATAGGTTTGATGCAAGACAACTGACTGATAAAACGAGTTTGGACCATTTAGCTCAGGAGGACGGCAATTCGCAAAGAATGCTACTTGTAAGCTTCTGGAGTAAAATAAATTACAATAATTACGCGTTGCCACTCCGGTTGAATTTAAGGTTCCCTTCTCCCCTAAAAAGCCAACCCCTAAAAAATGTCTGTAAAAAATTAGCTGAGAGGGACGGGGGGTGGGGGAGGATTGTTAGAGACATTACGGTATTGTCTTAAAAGCCTATACTGACTGTATACTAAACTTGCGTGCTTTGCAGAAAGCGTTTGGTTTTTTTTACCCATACTCTTGCCAGTGAAGATTATATTCTACGAGAACGTTTCCTACTAAAGTGAATTCAAACTTGTCTATTTTTCGAAACAAATCGAATATCTTTGCTTGATTGTATTTGAAAATGTTGTTGATTTTAGCTGTTAGCTACCCTGATATTTAAGTGTTTTGAGACAAAACGTGAGGTTGTAATATCTGGTTGAAGATATTTTGTCCGTGTTAATCACGGAATCTTAGATAACATTGATTTCTCACAAATCGGAAGAAAGTACGTCACATTTTGACCTATTTTATACTGCATCCTTAAAATAATGTTACGATTTGCCTTTTAACTGAATATAATATGTTTACCTAAATTGTAAATCGTTTATCCATAATATCGTAAATTCAATTCTCAGCCATTACAATTACTGTTATTAGAAAATCCATGCACTGACATACATATTTCTGTAAATACTGGAACATGTTTCAATTCGGCTATAATATTTTCTTACCTGTCAAAAAAACTCCTTTGAAAAGTTTGCTATCATCTGGTTAAATGTTCTGTTAATATTTTTCCCCAAACGAAACAAAATATAAACGTAAGTATTTAAATAATTTTCTGCGTGTACAAACTTTAATCTTTTTTGTCCGAAGTGTGGGATTTTTTTTTGCTCCTGATGTATATATTGGCAGAGGTTGGGCCTTTGGTCACTTTACTCAGTACCGTAGTTTTGTTGTGATTACGTAGAGACTGTTCCAAGCGTTCAGAGAGTTGAGTGTGCGGCCAAAGCAGAGAGAGATCAAAAATAAGGCGGGGGAAGGAGAGAATCAACGTTGTCTCGCTTTCACTCCTTACCCCACTCCTCGCTGTTTTTCCTGCTCACCTCTCTTTGAGCCATTCCCACAATCTAAACACCTGGGCCGGGTTGTTCAAAGCTGGGTTAAGATAACCCTGGGTTAGTGCGAAATTTGAATTCAGATATGAAAGCTTAAAAAGTAAATTCAGTTTAATTCTTTTTGTCAACAAGTTGATGATTGGATGCTTTTAAAAATAACAGAGAAATTATCCGAAAAAAAGCTTTTGAACAGAAGAAAAAGAAACCCGGGTTTCATTTAACCCTGGGTTAAGCGCTAATCTACCTTCGAACAACTGGGCCCTGACGTACAGCAATTTGTACGCAGCCTGTGTACAGAACCCCCCTCCTCTCAAGAAAAATCGGAGAGGGACGGGGGGAGGTCTGTACAGAGGCTATTTATACGCACTGCTTGCCTTTTGAGGTAAATGTAGAGCTCTGAACGCCCCCGTCTTATCCGTTAGTTGACCTAGTCTCCAAATAACAGTATACTCATTGGCACTGGTAGGTGTAGTCTTCCATCATACATGTAGTTAGAAGTTTTTCTTATTTTATCACTGAGAAACCATCCAACGATTTATCTTAGGCAACAGTATGTAGGTTATATTAGTCAAAGTAGTGGGTTTTCGTGGAAATGGAACCGAACATCATCTGTTTGTTGGTTTGTTTGTTTTCATTTGAAATAACTGTTTTTAAAAATAAGAAGATCCCGTAAGGTTGTCTGTCGTGTGTTACTCGGCAACGAACAGCTGAAAAAACATCACGCGGGTTCAGAAACCTATTGAAGACAACCGCTTTTCCCCTTAGTGTGATAGAAAGAGTTAACTGAATGAACAGACAGTCTTTAGGGTAAACATCCTGAAAATATTATTCAAGCCTTTTTTTATCGTACCCCAAAGGCTCCTCGTTTTGTTAATTTTAACGTTAAGCACTAATGCGGTGTTTTTTAATACATACTGAATGCATTGCTTTGTGAATATTTTTGTAACCGAGTCAAAATTATGTAAATGTCACTTCTACAAATAAATTCAAGGTCTACGAAATTGTTCTGTGTTTTGATGAGTTAGTAATCGCTAGTCCGGGGAAGGGGACTTCGTGCACGCACATTAGTCCACATTGTAGCTAACCTGCGATCAGGCGTCATTCTTCCCTGTTTGTTTGGGAGGCGAGGAGAAAAAGCCTGATCGCTGGTTACGTTCTAGCTGACTTGGAATGTTTAAGTAAGGAAACGCCAAATTAGTTCCTTTTATTGGAAATATAAAACCCTTGGCGAATCAGAATTGCTCGATATTTACAAGTTAACCTATGAGAAGAATTCGTAAACAAACAGAGCAGACAGAGGCTAAAGGCGAACGATATCTTGGCGCAGAAAAAACGATAAAAAGATCACGAAATATCTCCCCACTTTCTCTGTTCACGTTAGATAAGGGTTGTGAGTAGAATGGATACCCCGAGAACGGATTGCCAACATGAAGAAAGCCTTGTGACTTGAAATAATGAATACAAGAAGGAGGAAAACAAATTAAGTATGTAAGGCTTGAACTCGCAAAATTTGATTTTTAATCCGGATCGGTATCCATTACACCAACAAGGGTAATTTTTAAGGTACTTTTTTAAAATACACGGCGTTGCTCATAGAAAGCCAACCCTTCTAATCACTGTACTTCGGTGTTCAGCTTAACTCCGTACTCAATTATTTTCCCATTCTCTTTTTCTAGCACAACTGGCTCTCTGATTTTCACATTTTTCTGAAAAAAAACAGTGCTCAAAAACTGAATCTCTGCCAGTAGTCATGCGTTCAGTTTAATGATCATGTGATGTCCTCCTGATCTCGGGAGTATCCGTTGACGCAGCAGATTTATGAAGGGCCATTAAGACCATATCAGTCCCAGAACTCGTCTTAATCGCCACTCAACCTTCGAAAGCAGCCGGAAGGGTAAAATCTTGTTCATGTTATCTCAAATAAAACATTTTGTCAAACTTCTTACATTGTGACCAAAACGATTTAAAAATTTTTGACTTTATTAATTGACCATATATTACGATAATCTATATGATGAAAAATAGCTATTAGATATCACTTGATTTACTCTTCACTTTTAAAAAACGTAGACTATTTTTGAGCCACACAATGTAAGGTGAGGCTCTCTTGTCAGCGAAAGAAAACTGAGACGCGCTATTCTTTCAAGCGATAAATCTCTTTTCCTTTATTCCCACAACTCACGCAGTATTTGTGACGACCCTTTCGTTGAGAGGTGAACTATCGTAAATAGTAAAGTTAATCAGCTTTAAATCCATGACAACAGGCTCTACAGGCAGTTTCCTCCAAGCGTGTCTCAACTTCCTCGGATAATAAAGGCTTTCCCATACATCTTTATAAGGTTTTCTCTCGCGAAGCCTTGCTAAATAAGCGTTTTTCCAAATTGGCGTTGATGCCTCATCTGTAGGTAATTTACTATTTATTATAGAAATATCTTTTGTATGTTCATCAGAAACAACTCCACTTTCGCGCGTGGATGGCTTAGATGACCGTACGCGAGGACAAAAGTCGCTCGAGGGAGTCCTACTGAGGCTTCGAATGTAACTCATCCGGCTTGAATAACCACTGTCGTGAGGAGGACTACTGATTAAGCTTTGTTTTCTAGAATAAGAGGCTGGCTTTTTGAAAATAAACTCTTCGTCTTCGCTCTCATGAAAAACCTCGTCTTCGCTGTCACTGTATTCAGCTTTCCTCAAACGAGAGGCAATTATTTGACTAAAAGAATCTTTGTCTCGTTCTAAGTAGCTCATCTGGATGTCGCGGTATTCCCTCACTGCCTCAGATCTTTGACAAAGCTTCCAACAATCTTTGCACAGATTTGGACCCAGCAACTCGCAGAAATGCCGGCAGGTTGAGTTCGGGCGTCGATCGTGATCCCTTCGCTCGCACTGAATTCTATTACGCGAATATCCACGCGAGCTAGGAACTCGGCTGAAAATCTCCTTGGTGTATTTTAATAACCCTGGTTCAATTTGAGGCAGTTTTTCAGACTTTTTTGTTTCTCTCTGAAATCGAGGATGATGAAACATCCATTCAGGGTCAAAGACCGGATCTTTCAAAGTAATCACGCGAAATTCGGCCGAAGACGTCGGTGCGTGAACTCCTCGTAGCTGTTTCAGTTCTTGTACTCGAGGGCTTCGTACCGTTACCATATTTCAGGGATTTTCTTTTTCTATTGTTTTCAATGATTTCCTTACATCCTTAGGGTTCAATCCAAGAGTTTTCTTGAAATATTTCAAGGCTACTTGTCTGTAGCGATTGTCCAAGAACGCTCAAGTCACAACAAAACCACGCATGGCAACAGTTATCTTCAATCAATCATCGTGACACGGAACATGATCTGTGGTTTATAAACACAAAGGAGACCGAGCGAGCGGAACATTGGTTCCTCTTGAACGACAAGGATGAACAAGACTGACAGATGTGAAACCACAAAGCCGCTTGAAATCGTGGATACAGAGGTATGCATGTATGTTTACTCAACCAGTTTGCAAACACGTCTGTAGTCTGGCGCGTCTAACCAATTCTTTTTTTCGAAGGCCTCTGATTACAAACTGAAGACGACTTGGATTTCTTCAATAAAACCCCAAGGTGTAATTAAGAAAAAAAATTAAATAGGACAAATTAAATCAGGTACCCAGTCTCCTACGAGACAGGCAGAAACGAGCCTCTCGTGCAGAAGCGGGCCTGATGCGCAAGGTGACCGGCTGTTGACTCGCAAGTAGTGGACATGGGTTACCCCTATGGACCACCCTAAAATAGACTAATGGTTAGGAAAATGAGTGAGTCAGGTTCGATTTAGGGGCATTATACTGGGAAAACTGACCTTAAAGTTGATTCACTCAGTTTTCGAACCCTAGTCAGTAAACTTCAGCAGAATAGTCCATGGGTTAAGCCCATGGACTGGGGGTCAGTGTTTTGTCCACCACCAGACTCGGTGGAGGTGTAAGAAACGCGAAAAGCCCCAAAGAGACGAATGCAAACCCAACTATTGCCAAATCTATTTAAAACAAAATTTACTAAAATGAGTACAAGGATGAAGGTGGATTAAAATTCGTCAAATCTGTTTGTGAAACTTCCCCAGTTTAAGCGTTCAATACAAGAGCCTCAGCCAAACAATATGAACAAAACTGGCAAGGGATGCTGCATGTGTTTTACTGTAACTAGAAACAAGGACAATTGCGCAAGGACCAGTTTACAAGAAACTCCACACAACTATAGTGTAGTTTAGCACGGGTGAAAACTTGATGAGGAAAGCCCCATTCTCCCCTAGTTTTTCCCCTTGTTTTCCCCGTGCAAGGGAAATATAGGTAAGGGAAATATTAAAAGATTATTGTCGTTGTTGTTGCGTACAATTTAACTTGCTTCCCAACGTCTGAACTCCACACTCCGACTGCTTTCACCTCTGCGCCAAACTTTGTTTGCCATACCAATGTCTGTTATAATATGCACATTTGTTGGTGTTTTTTGGTGTAGTGTGTTGCAGAAACCATTGTTGGTTTACTTGTGTGGTATGGGTTTTGTTCATTGTCTTTCTAATCTTTTGTACTGAGTCATTTGGTGATTGCACCTGGTTAACAATCTCACATTTGTTGAGAGAATTGGGGACATGTTGGAACCAATCAATAAATCAAACTTTAACTAAACACTTACATGCCACACACATGAAAACATAACACACCACACAATATTTATTTGTACAAGTTTATTAATATTGTGCAGAACAAATCGCAAGACACTTTTTAAGACCTCATTCCACTACCTCCTCCAGGACGGAAACCCTGTGTGGCATTGATTGGCTGAGTTACTTGGAGGTTAGAAATATTACCAAAGTCCTGAAATCAAGAAAGAAGAACACTTAAACGCAATTCAATTTTATATCCATTCAGCGGGCAAAGAAAGTCCTGTCCAGTAGCCTAGGGCTAGTGGATTTTGCTATCTGGCTAGTGATTTTTGTACTTAACTTGCCCGATGGGCAAGTGCTGTTTTTTGGGGAAATTCAAATTGCAGAAGGATTGTAATCAATCCTGCTAATCAAAAAGGGTTTTGGGGCTAGCTAAAACGACTTGTGGGCTGGTACATGCTTGTTATTTGCCCGAATGGCAGGCTGTAAAACTGACTTTCTTTGTACCCTGCTATTCAAGATCTAAATAACTCGTTAAAACAGCAATACTCAGGATTAAGAACGTTAATGGAGGCAGCACGGCCAGAGTGGTTAGGGCGCTGGGCCTGAGTTCAAGTCCCACCCTAACCACTAGCTGGATTTGTTCTCCACAGTCCTGAGTTCAAAATCCTCGGCCACGCTTCTAAACTAGCCAACTGGCTTGCCTCCTACGAATTGGGATTCTTCACGTGGATTTCCACCGTCTCATAATTTTTACATGCGTGCCTGAGTAAAATTTATGTTTGCAAATAGAAGAGAAGCAATGCATGAAAGATTGCATGTAAAAGTTAAAGTTGCACCAAACACAACATCACATTTGAGCACAACACTTCATACCTTGTCTCTATTTTGTTTGCGTGAGCAAAATTTACGTGCTTGTACATGCATGTAAAAATTACACAAGAGTGGAAATCCACCCTTAACTTTGTTATGTTCCATTTGAATTATTTGTTTCATTATCGCTGAAAAGCCCCATTAGGGGAGAGGATAACTAAGCATTTATTATCATAACGATATTTTTGCTTGTAAATGAAGTGCTCATTTGAAGGAAGTGTTTATTTGAGGGAAATGTACAGTACCTTTGAATAAATAATGCACTGATGCACCCCTTAAAAAAAATGGTCAGTAGAAGGACGTAAGGGCTAGCTAGCAATAGATGTCACTTTTGGAAAATTAAAGTTCACTTAAGTAATTTTTGTGGAAAATGTACTAGACTTACCAAGACCTTCAACATTTCCTTAGTGTCTGGGTCAACTTCAATGATATCTTGCTCTATGGCAGACACCTGAATAACAAACAACCAATAAATGATAAATGTTACACGACAACCAAAAACACCTGCCCTGTTTTAAAAAGGATTATTTTTATAATGTACAGAGATAACTGGAACTGTGACAAAAGGAACAAGACAAAAAACTTAAAAGGCTTCAAAACGTTTAACAAACACACCATCGCACCAAACACAGCTTGCAAATTGCTCTTTCGGCATTTTGATTGACAAAAATCTCTTGTGGAAAATTCACATTGACAATGTAGCTACTAAATTAAGTAAAACGGTTGGTTTAATTGCTAAATTGAGGCACTTTGCTCCTCAACATACCTTCCTAAATATACACCAAGCTTTCATCTTGCCTTATTTATCCTATTGTTCGATAGTTTGGGGACAGGCGTCAACATTTAACAAAAATCTTATTGCTTTAGAAAAAAGTTCTCCATTCCATGTTTTTGGCCAACAGGAATGTTCATGCCATTCCCCTTTTAATTGATGCAAATATCTTACCAATAGGCCATTTGCACTAAGAGGTAATGTGACATCATTAGTCGAGCTTGCTTTAGCAGAACAAGACTCTAAAAATGCAGGCATTTCTTTTTTTTCTTCTTCTGTAGTCCTAATTGATGATCGTTACTGATTTTATACTACTTTCATGAAATTTTTTAAAACGATCCCCTGGTAGTACTTTCTTATCTAAAAACGACCCCTCAAAACCAATCAACATTTTGAAAATGACCCCCAGCACCCTTAACCATTACATTTGCAATCAGTTTACCAACCTCTGGAACATAGTTGTCCCTCCTTTCACGTTCTTCCTCCTGCAACTTAATGGAGATTCCACGCACAGGACCCTTCTGGATACGCTTCATCAGATGGGTAACAAACCTTAAGCAAAAATGTAGAAATCAAACAAAGTTTTCTCCATAATAAACTACATAATTATAAAGCCTTAAAGGAAATTTGAAAATGTTGAAATGCCAAACCCTTGGAGAATGCTGCATTGTGGTAAATATTTTAGATTAACATTTCTACAACACAACAGGAAATTTGCTCAAAAACATAATACAGTTAAGTCTTGCATCCTTGCATTACGGACAACTACGTAAGGCAGAAACTTGGGTCTGTCCCTTAAAGAAGTTTAGAATATCAAAATGCCTGTGACATGTCAATTTTATTGACCTAGTAATCTGAGCTTATTATTGTACTGTTTTTAGACTACAGTGCACTTACAATGCACTTGTGGCGATTTATAGCCGACTTTTAAAAGAGTTACATGTACTGAAGGAAAATTTCAATTAGTTTTTTCAACAATTATTATTACAGTATCTACATTCCGGTTGTTTAATAATGAGAACAAAAAATGCGAATGCGATGTATGGTCTATTTGTCATTACAGCCCTCAAGTCATGAAATTTGAGCCTGCCCGGTAATATGGCCATCCCGTTAATATGGCCAATTTTTACCCAGTGACGACCGTACTAACAAGGTATCACTGTACTATATATGAAGTTTGTCCCCTGATAATTTCATGGGAAAACAGAAGAAAAATAGAACCAAAAGAAATCTATAGCTGTTTGATTTTCCACTGACTTGTATTCACCTGGCAACTTGAAATCTTATTGACAGCCCTAGACTGTTCTGCAAATCCTCACATTCACTTCAACACAATTCAGCCAAAACATGACAATAAAAACATGTAAATAATTAGATACTATCGTACCCTGCAATTTTATTCTTTAGTTTCTTGCTTGGAATGATGGCTATGTCTTCACAGACTCGCTTGTTGGTGTGAAAGTCGAGAGTCAGCAGAGGGTAGTACTTCTCGATGATGACCCTTGAGGCCTTTTTCACCGTCTTAGTTCTAACACGACCCTATAAAATGTCAAAAACAAACAGCTAAAATACAGAATTTTCAGATATACTAAAACAATGATATACAAAAAAAAAGCACCACCAGCTTAATTTTGTTGATTTAAACAGAGAGTCTCCATGCAATCTCAGCTCAACTACTCACTACAACTTGTATTAGCCTTGATATAAACACAGAGACATTTCGCGACGTAAACAGCTGTATTTGAAACGCGTGTTGCTATTTTAACACCGTAAATAAAGAAAACTAAGATAGCCATCATTTTTAGTTTCTCAAAATACGCAAATCCGCAACAACAAAGAAGAAACACAGACTTAAATAACACAGCAACACTGCAATAACTTGAAGGTGCACTGGAGTGGTTTATTAGGAGCGATTATTTTTTTCTTTACTTGAAACATCGTACTCAAAAGTATTAGAAATAACAGATTATTTATTTATCTCTGTAAGTGCAGTACACATGTATCGAAAGGGATAAATTTAAGACCGATGGCATCGGATTCTTATCAAAAATTATAAAACCCACCATCTTGAATCGAGGAGAAAGAGAGAGGACAATCCCATGATCCTTTGCCAGTTGGACTCCTCGATAAACTGCTGCCCAAACTTTGTTACGTGCGCGCGGGCTCTTTTATCTGCCAACGGACCAGGAAACTGGAAATTGAATATGGTTTAATACATAAAGAAAACTCGAAGGTGGTGTTCTCACACACTACTCAACCTGAGAAGCTAATATAATGCTATCAGGCATTACAGGAGGATCTGACTTGGAGGACCACATGTCAGTTGTCAGACCGAAATACATGTAACTACTTTCCAGGCCCTGATGTCTGTCAGAATTTGATTGTGCGATGTGATCGTTTATTACACCTTTGTTTGCAAATACTGATATAATAGCCAAAACATTTATTCTACTAGCGAATCTACAGGGCAACGAAGTAATCTAGCCGTCCCTACGGATAGGAGAGAGAACCTGCGAACGAGGTTGATTCTAGTTATGTAATGATAATAGGCCACTTCCGAGTCCCAAAAAGCCTCACTTTCACAACCTTTCTTGTGAAAATGAGTTTTATTTGCATGAGAAGGCAAAATCATTTCCATTTGGAAGGTTGAGCACTTAACCTCGTTTTGATACTGAGGCCGGGGGAACTCGGAAATCGCCTATTTATTAAACACATAAAAACTCAAAGGAAATATTCTTTTATTGTAGAAATACAGTTTACTGATAGTTACCAATATAGAATTTTTCAAACACAATCTTTGCATTGTATTTGATACTATATTACATATGTCACATACTAAAGCAATTATTCTATTATTGTAATGTATACTACGACGGCAATCCTTACATTCCTATTTTTTCCATCAACTACCCCCACGCATGCGAAATAAAACAAATAAGTTATATAATATTGATAATATTGCCCAAGGACCAATTTGATACTTTTCTGATAATCATTTGCTGTGAACTCCTGGACCGTTTTGAACATCAAACGTTACAGAACTGTAAACTATTGCAACGACGATGCAAGTTAATTTTTTCTTGCTAAAAACACTCTTTTGAAAACCTCGTTTTGGCCACTATAAAGGCCACCGTTGTGCCATTGTCAGGAACTACGCTGGATAAGATCCTAGAAATTTACTTATCGTTTGCAACCTAACCTAGTTCCATACCAAAAGTACATGTGTAACTGGTGGAATTGTCTTCGCGCGTGAGAGTTTCGGCGTCGAAGCAAGGCCCCGAAAAACGAGCCTGCTAGACAAGCCAACTGCCTCCAGGTTACCAAGGTTACAACTTACAGGTTTCCTATGCGCCCCTCATCTCATCTCGTTGACGCAAGCTCCAGTAAATACATGCACAGTCTCGTCGACTGATACAAAAATCGACCTTTGCGATACAGCAAGATTATTGATTTTTTTATATATGTTATAGATCCATTAATTTACTTTATTCAAACTTTTAACGTCTAGGGATCCGAAAAAATAACAATTTTAAGATAGAAATCCTTGTGAACAATCTTGATTGACGACTTAATAAAATATATGAAATTGTGTGATAATAAAAATGTGTCTGAAAGATCGGTCTCTTTTTTTCATTTCAAAAAAAGCAAAAAATAGTTTCACGGTTTTAGACGCCCTCCTCGTCAAAAAGGAAATTCGTATTGCTTTAGACTTTTCGAGACCATGTCAACGTCTTTCAACAAATAAGCATAAATATGTCGTTGACCTAACTAATATATCGTTGTCAGTCTTATTGTTTATGCTCCAAGGAGCCACCTCAAGTACTTGGAATTAAATACATGTTAAAGGTAAAACTCATACCCTAGTTTTATGTTTTAAGATCTTTAACATGAAATAAGTTATTTTTAACATATCTTTTGGACAGTTAGAGCCTTGACACGAAATTTGCAAAGATGCATGGCTTTCAAATAGCACTTGAGTACAGAGAGGCCTTAGGTGACCTAGCCTGCGAACAACATACGCATCTCCGGTCGTCGCTTCTTTCCCTCAGAAAAATAGCTATTTTCGGAGAGAGCTCGCAGGCTATAGGTGACCACAAGACCTCGATCTTGTACTAACAGACTATCAGCCGATGACATATAGGCTCGATTACCAGCCTCTGTTTGCCAGAGGGAAATGAGCCCGCATTCACCCCCTACACTTTGGGGAGGATCAAAGATTGGAGCCGGGAGATGGCGGGAATCGAACCTACATGACATATTAACCCTTTTCAGCGCCAATATCCAGATTCAAATTCTCCAAACTGATTTCCATACTTTCAATTAAAGAATTGGTTGAGAGAATTTGACAAAAGATCACCGAATTTTCTCTTAGGTGATCCTGATTTTAATAGTTCTCGTAACCTTCCTCTTGATTATGTATCAAAAGTGTTGGGAGAAAATTGATTCTGGTCAGTCTCGGGACTTATATTCCCTTGCGGCAAAGTTTATAATGGTGATTGAACTGAGTGGAGTGCAATTTGGTCTGAAATCATACGCGTGATTTCAAAATCTGCGTGCTCGTTCGATTTGAAATTACAAGTATGATTTCAGACCAAAATTGCTTGACACGAAGTTCAATTACGACTTTATTATAGCCAATTTGAAATCGCAGCATTCAGTCAGATATAAAACAGAAATGACCTGATTTAGAACATGAATGACGCGATTTAAAACAGATGTGATTTGGGGCAAAAAATAGGTTGATTTGTGAATAAATCACACTGCTGAGAGCCAATCAAATTGCAGGGATCACCAGTGATTTCAAAATGGATATAATAAAATTCATTACGAGGTAGTTCTTGGTTGCTTGCTTGTTTTGGTGCTCGCTATCTATGTTTATCCTGGTTCTATGGAAACCACCATGGGTCTTTGTTGCCACGAGTGCTGTTACTCCCAAAGGGCAGCATAGTTACCATACAAGACAAGAGAGAGGGGTCCACCCGCTGCGAAGAGCTTGGTACCGGTAGGGTCATAACAGTGTGTGTAGACAGCATTACTGCAACACGCATGTGTGTGATCAAAAATGTAATCAAATTGTCCCAGGTCTCGCTATAAGATAAAAGTTTAGCATTAGAAACAGGATATGACTATTGCATAGCTACTGCCAAACTCATAACATTGTGAACAAGACAAGCAGACAACAAACTACTATTACCGTTGCTGTAGCTTTCTCGTTATTGACTGGCCTTTTACTTGCAAAACAATAGCATCGTACAAAGGTTTCGACTCTCATTTGTTTTTATCTCTAAGCGTTTTAGCGAGTCAAGATTTTGTTACAGGATTTGAAGAATCAAAATCAAATAACTGTAGAACTTTTTTCTCCCAATAAAATACTTCTTTATAATTTCCATAGAACCCTAGGCAACATGAAAGCAAAATTCTCTGTCTTATTTCCCTTTCTTGCCAAGAAATACGATTTTTCCCTGACTTTTTGCAAAACTCCCTGACTTAGGAAAAAATTGCTTTTCTCCTGGCAGTCTTGAAAAGGTTATTTCAATTCAGCCTCTCAAGTGCTACAAACGTTCCCTTTTAAATTCAACTAAATATAAATGTGTCTCTATGCAACACAGTGATGTCAGTAACAATTTGAGCTGCCAGGAGCCAAAAGTCAGGATAGGCCACCTAACATCTCAAATAACTATTATCTTGCATCCCAATTTGATCAAGAGTTCCACTCAAAGTTCTTAAGGTGGCTCGACTGGATTTTTTGGGGGGGATACCTCCCAAGTTTGAGCATTAATTACGTCGCCATGAGTAAAGATATGGAAAAAAGGTTTCCACAACTGTATTATATAAAGATGAAAATTTCTTATGATCTGGATTTTATTGCAATCGGAGTCGCCATGGCAAGGTAACGACGCCATTTGGTTTTTTATTTATCTTTGTCTTTTTCTGCACCAGTAGTCTTTTTGAGAAATCGCTTAAGGGAGTTTGTACCTGCCATAATTGCCTCAATTATGGCAAAGTTTGAACAAATTCTATGAGAGCGTTTTCGAAATATTTTGAAAAGTTTTAAGAGTCATATAAACAGTGAAATAGCATGCTATCCACACAATTAGCTAATTTTTAAAGAAAACGATAAGCTTTGGAAAAGCAGCTTCGTCTCATAGTGGTTTGATTCCATTGAAAACTGTGTACAAACACAGAGGGGAATTGCTGTGGGCGATCGCGAGTAAGAAGGATTTTATTAACTTGCATTCAGCTGCTTTTGTTACAGTTTTTGCACGTAATTTGATCCACGCCTGCAAATTTCGCATTTTGCAAAAAAACGCTCGATAAATTTTTTTATAAAAAAGGACCCTCGGTTAAATCTCCGGAATATGCTAATAACCGGGTAAAGAAATTAGTGATATATTCTAACATCACAGCAAGATCTTTGTAAGAGTTTCTGTGATGTTATAACCCGAGTAAGATAATTAAGTGTTACATCCTACAAGATGAGCCGTAACGTTCACTGTCTCGGCTCTCACTGCTATCTGTGACACAAGCCAATTATTAGCATATTCCGGATATTTCTTCCAAAAGTAATCGAGAGTTCTTTTTTATGCAAATTTATTTTTTTTGCTAAATGTGCACGTGCACATGATTCTTGAAAACAATGCCAGTGAATAATAAGGACGCTCACTTGTAAACACAAAATCTGGGGGGGAAATTGGTCATATTTGAGGCCCTATTTAAAAGCCTTCCCTGTTTTCAATGTTCTTGAAACTTGCAGGGTATATTTATTGACAATTGATCTCGGGATTGTCAAATTTATAAAAAATTGATCGAGCGGTTTTTTAGAAAATGCGAAATTTGTAGGCATGGACCAAATTACGTGCAAAAACTGTAACAAAAGCAGCTGAATGCAAGTTAATAAAATTCTTATTACTCGCGATCGCCCAGAGCAATTCCCCTCTTTTTTTGTACACAGTTTTCAATGGAATCAAACCACTATGAGATGAAGCTGCGTTTCCAAAGCTTATCATTTTCTTAAAAAATTAGCTAATTGTGTGGATAGCATGCTATTTTACTGTTTTTATGATGCTTAAAATTTCGTTTCAAAATATTTCGAAAACCCTCTCATAGAATTTGTTCAAACTTTGCCATAATTGAGGCAATTATGGCAGGTACAAACTCCCTTAAGCGATTTCTTAAAAAAACTCCTGGTGCAGAGAAAGACAAAGATAAATAAAAAACGTAATGGCATCGTTACGTTGCCATGGCAACTCCGATTGCAATAAAACCCAGATCAAAAGAATTTTTCATCTTTATATAATACAGTTGTGGAAACCTTTTTTCCATATCTTTACTCATGGCGACGTAATTAATGCTCAAACTTGGGAGGTATCCCCCCAAAAAAATCCAGTCGAGCCACCTTAAAATAGAGAGATCTGTATCATTTCTTACCAGCCAGCCTTTTCCTGATCTATAGCACAACATTTGATCGGTGTCCCTGTGTACCAAGAAGCTACAAGTTCTCATGTCAAAGAAAAACAGGGAACCTAGCCCAGTGCCAACAGTCAGCAGCAGGTCTCGGAAACTCAGTGAGCGTACCCCTGTATATTGAAATGAACGGGAGTAACATCTGTGAGCTACATGTACACATACAACAACCAATATTTCAGTATTCAGAGCACTGTTGCTCTCGAAAAACATGTCAAGTTAACTGGCATTTTATGACAGACAAGTGCTCTGTAAAAAGCCCAAATTATAATGTGCAGCAGACATTACTTTTAGAATGAAATATTACGCCTGGAGTGAGTAAAATTGGTAGAGAGGTGGATAGGGGAAGACCTTCTCACACCTTCAGTCTTGAGCTCAAATCTCATAGGTAGTGTGGTTCTCAAGTCCTAGCATAGAGCTTCTAATTCTTGCCAACAGGCTGAAATGGTTCTTTAAAATAATGGTAGAGTCATGAAAAAGAGGTTTTATATAAAGATTGTATGGCTTTCAATCACCAAATTTTTCCTTGGAGGTTCTTTATCTGTTGTTTATCATAGTTGGGTAGCCTGCATAACAACAAGGCTATCACTGAGATGTCAAGTTGCATGACCCCCATGACCCTCGCTAACATCTATGCTCCCAACGAGGATAAACCTTCATTCTTTCAAAACTTTTACGATCATCTTTTAAATTTTAAATGTGAAGACATAATAATTGGCGGTGACTTCAACCTTGTTCTTAACATCGAAAATGACAAAAAAGGTGGCATTGCCAAAACTCACCAAAATAGCTTGAAGACCGTTCAAGAAATTTCAGAGAACCTAGATCTTCTCGATGTCTGGAGAATTCACAATCCAGATGACAAAAGGTACACTTGGAGACAACGACAACCTAAGGTTTACTGTAGACTTGATTTCTTTTAATAAGCCAAAGCGTTATTGGGGACGTCACTAACACCGATATAGTGCCAGGATATAAAACAGACCATTCCATGATTACTTTAGATCTGTCTCTTCATGCAAATAGCAGAGGACCCGGCCTTTGGAAATTAAATACCTCTTTTTAACCGAAACTGCTTATGTTAATCTTATTAAGACAACGATTAAGGAAGTTCAAGACGAATATGAAAACGATGACATGGTAAACTCTGCTCTATTGTGGGACATGATTAAGCTTAAAATACGGGAAAAATCGCTCCAATACGCAATGAATAAAACTAAGAAAACAAAGGGCCGTGAGGCAGAACTAGAGCATGCAATTTCCAAACTAGAATCGAAAATGGAGAACGGAGACTCTAGCGTAACAGAAAATTCTGAACTTGCAGAACAACTGAATGATCTAAAGAGTGAGTTAGAAAGAATTATTGAGACTCGTACGAAAGGTTCCATATTGAGAGCTAAAATTAAATGGCATAATGAAGGAGAAAAAAAAAATACGAAATATTTCCTCAACCTAGAAAAAGAGACACTATAAGCAAGGCATTATAAGCCAACTTAAAGTGGACGAAAATAACTTTATTACTTCGGATCAGGAAATATTAGCAGAAGGGGAATCTTTTTTTATGAATCTATATACATCCAACAGAAATATACACAATTTAATTGACACATATGATTTTTTTAAACACGAAAACGACACCGTCCTGAATGACGAACAACGGAACAACTGTGAAGGCCTGCTAACTGAAAGGGAATGCCTTGCAGCCCTGAAAACCATGGAACAGGGAAAAACCCCTGGATCTGATGGGCTACCTGCAGAATTTTATAGAGTATTTTGGACAAACATATCAAACTTATTGATTAATGCTCTTAATTATGCGCACGAAACGAGTCAGCTTTCCATCACACAAAGAAGAGGAGTAATCAAACTCATTCCCAAGAAAGACGCTGAGCCGTATTTCATTAAAAACTGGAGACCGCTTACTCTTCTCAACTGCGACTACAAAATTGCAGCAAAGGCTGTGGCTAACAGGCTGAAAAAGGTTCTTCCCGATCTCATCAGCTGTGATCAAACTGGCTTTATGAAAGGCAGGTTTATTGGCGAGAACATACGATTAATAGACTATGTTATTCGTTTTACCAAAGAAAAAAATATCCCAGGGCTATTATTATTTCTTGATTTCGAAAAGGCGTTTGACACGATTGAATGGCCTTTTATCATAAATTCTCTTCAATACTTCGGTTTCGGCCCAAGTGTTGTAAACTGGGTCAAATGCCTTTACAGCAACATAGAGAGCTGCTTCTTAAACAACGGCTGGACAAGCAATTTCTTTAAAATTGAAAGAGGGGTCAGGCAGGGGTGCCCGTTGTCTCCATATCTATTTGTTCTTTCAGTTGAAGTCTTAGCCAAGGCTTTTAAAAGAAACAGCAATATCAGAGGAATACACGTTAACCAAGAGGAAATTAAAATAAGTCAATACGCAGACGATACAACCTTAATATTGAATGGTTCACAAACGTCGCTCTCAGCTGCTCTCAACACACTCGACGATTTTGGAGAAGCCTCGGGTCTCAAACTCAACAGTAAAAAAACAGAAGCAATTTGGATCGGAACATATAGTGGAAAAACAGAAATTCTTCTTCCAGAAAGAAATTTCAGATGGCAAACAAACAAAGTAAAATCTTTAGGCGTTTGGTTTACGACAGACCCTGAAAACACTGTACTTCTAAATTATAAGGAAAAACTGGAAAAAATTAACAATATTCTAAGCAACTGGAAATACCGTAGATTAACCTTAAGTGGGAAGATCACTGTTCTGAAAAGCTTGGTAGCTTCTCAAATTGTGTACGTCTTGGCACCCTTGTGCACAAACAAAAAAAATAATTAGCGAGATTAACAAGTTTTTTTACTTGTTCCTTTGGAACGGAAAGGGCGATAAAATAAAGCGAGATATTATGATTAACAATTACCCAGCAGGTGGCCTCAAAATGATTGACATACTATCTTTCAATAAAGCGCTAAAACCACTTGGATAAAAAAGTACCTGGATACAGATAATCAGGGTAAATGGAAACTTTTTCTAGATCTTGAACTGAAAAAAGTTTGAGTGTACCCTACCTTTCACAAGCAACCTTAATAAGATAGACATAGCTAATATCTTCAAAACGCAAGACAGTTTCTTAAAGGAAATTCTCCTAATCTGGTCAGAAATCAATTTTGAAGAGAGGATAACATCAGAGAGCCAGCTTTCAGAACAAGGCATATGGTACAACTCACTTGTAAGGATTAACGACAGCCCTATTTTCTTTAAAGAATGGTATCGTAAAGGCATCACAAAAGTTAAGCACTTAAGGAACAGAGAAGGAAAATTCCTCACTCCACCAGAACTTTTAAACAAATACGACATCAAGGTCCAACCCTTGGCATACTGTGGAATAATTTCTGCTCTTAAAAAGCTATGCAACACATTCAACCAAGGTGACCACACAAACGAAGGTAATAGTTACGAAAGCTTTTCGACAAAACTAATGAAAGCCCAAAAAGCAAGCAAGTTGGTGTATGACAAATTAATTACAAAGAAAAGTGCCCCCCCTACTACAAGCCAGCAAAAATGGAATCAAGACTGCAACTTAGGTCAAAACGAAATAACGTGGGTGCGACCTACCAGCTAGCTCATAAAATCACAAAAAGCATAAAACTCAGGGAATTTCAATTTAAATTGCTGCACAGAAGAATACCAACAAACGCTTTCTTAACTAAGATAAGAGTAAAAGAAAACTCCAACTGCTCCTTTTGTAAAAAAGAACCAGAAAAACTCGTACACCTTTTCTGGTCCTGCCCCAAAACGGCGCTCTTCTGGGAGAGCATCATAACGCGATTAAAACTTTGCCAAATTATTCCCGATAGTTACTCTGCAGACATGACTGTTTCACTAGGCCTGAGATCAGACTCTTCTAAACTTCAACGCCTGATCAACTTTTGTTTTCTTATTGCCAGGCACTATATCTGGCTCTGCAAAACAAAAAGAAGCTATACCTCTATTGCAAGGATTTCTCAAACACCTAAAGACAATTTACAACATACAAGCACAAGCAGAAGCAAACAATGTTCTGCCCAAACAATGGTCATTCCTACACGACATCACGTAGAAACTATCGTTTCTACCATGGCGCTATTCCCAACGCCCCCTGATATTCTCTATGTCTTTCATCCGTAGCTTATCCTGCCTCAATAACGCCAACTATCCTTAAATAAGTTTCTTCCGATGCAACTGAGTACTTGAAGCATACGAAATGTAATAATGTTTGAAAACAGTAGTATTGTTAGCAATGTAAGCAATAAGTATTGTCAGTATTGTAAGTATGGTATGAATGTTGCAAATAATGTAAGCAGTGTAAGCAGTGTTCAATATTGTAATTATTGGGTTAAGTAAAGCAAATTTAAAAAAAAAAAAAAAAAAAAAAAAAAAAATGTACTATCAGGGAAAAAAAGGCAATTAGAGCCAAAAGAACTTCCTGGCTGTTTATGTTCTCACCTACTAATTGCATATGTTGTGGTTCAATTTTATCCTTGGTTTCTCTTTGTTTTAAACTCATTATCATACACTACCATGCCATAAAAAAAGGAAATAAAATTCAAACCAATTAGTAGGTGGAGATGTAAACAGCTAGGAAGTTTTTTTGGCTCTAATTGCCCTTTTTTCTCTGATGGTACATGGGGGCCATTCTTAAAGTAGCAAAGGGAAGTCCCCAGCAGCCCCCAGCCCTTAGTGATAACCCTGGTAACAGTAAAAAATAACACTTATTATGAAGGCTACTTAGTGGATTTTTGTTGTGAATTGTAATGATGACAATAAATGGCAAATTTAGGGTTAGCCTGTTTACAGACCCTCTATTTTCACTTCAAAGTCCGCCGAGTGCGGGTCATAAAATATAAACTGCTGGGGATTTATTGACCACTGGCGAAAGGGGGTAGTGGTGCTCGCTCACTTCGCTTGCGAACTCGCCTATGTTTTTGAAAACAACAAAAAGAAAAATAAAATGTCTGTTTACAGGCTAATTTAGGGTGCTTTCCTTTGGGATGAATCAGGATCAACATCAGTAATCCAAGATCACTTGGTTCATTGTAGGGTGGATTTGTCGGTTCCTTTGATGTGCTAAGATCTGAGTGATCTCAGATCACTGATCCTGATCTGGATAATCCCAATGGAATGCTCCCTTAGATGCATAGCCATAATCACCGTGTGAGAGAAGAAAACAGCTCACCTGCACCACGATCACTGGAGCTAATAAACCCCACAGCTTTCCCACACCTTACGTCATAAAATGAAATGTGTGACTGAGAACCAACAGCAAAAAGCATGTTGTCCTTTTCCAAGGCCAGGCACACTGTTTCCTCTGGATATTTCAGTGTCATGGTACTTTTCTACAAGACACACAGGACAATAAATTATTTATCAAGAAAGAAAATATGCCAAGAAACAGAGAGGAGGTGCATCTAACCAGTACATGAACCATGGCCATGGGTTTGATTCCCATTACAGACTCATACTTTTTTGCTCTCAATTAATTGCACTTGGTTATGTATAATATAGACAGGTCTGTGTGAATTTGCTAAGAGGTGTCCTCTAGGTTTTTACTTGAACATGGGCATTGCCCATGTTCAAGCCAGGGTAGCTGGAAAAAATCCAGGAGGCTTGCTGTCTTGCTAGGTGCCACCAGATACTAAAGGCCCAGACCTAACAGTGGGTGGGTGACTGGTAGCTTTGTGTCAAAAGTAGGAGTGTAGGGAGGGGGGTTTTGACACTTTGATTAGAGTTTCAAGTTAGAAAGCAGTGGAAAGTCAAGGAATTTTCCTTGTAGGCTAGCCCTGCCAAATCAGTGATCTGACTGATAATCATAATGCTAATTGCACAGCTTGGCAAAGTGACTGACTAGTCATGAGTGTCATGGGTGGGGAGGGCTGGTGAGTTCGTGATCCTTGGGCTTGGCTATCCAGAGACTGAGTGCAGGCACCTTGTATCAAATCCAGTCAGACAGGTATGTACCTGACATTGTTAAAACCTAAATGCCACTGCAGTGCTTTTTCCTTATTTGTTATAGTATACTTAGGCTTTAAGAACCAAATGAAGTATAAATGACTGTCATAAATTTTTGAAATACAGTTAAACCCTCTACAACAGCCACCTTAGGGACAGAAGAAAGTGGCCATTGTAGAGAGGTTGAAACACAGTGAATGTATGGACTGTCCACCAAAAAAAATGGCCATGGTAGAGAGGTGGCCGTTAGCGAAGGTTCGACTGTAGTGCAGTGTGCAAAGAAAAACTTAGTGTCCGATAGCCCAGGGCAAAAGGATTTTGCTATTGGACTAGTGAATTGTGTTCTTAACTTGCCCAACAGGCAAGTGAAGTATTTTGAGAAATTCAACTTACGGAAGAAGAGTGAAATCAATTCTGCTCATCAAAAAATTTGGGCGGCTAGTTGAAGTGATGTTTGAGCTAGTAAATGCTAGCTTCAGTTTGCCCGACTGGCAAGCTGTATTTAATGACTTTCTTTGCACCCTGTAGTGGCAGAGTAAAATGAAGATTCATTCCTAACAACTCACAAAACATCTAGTGCTTTTTCTAGTTTTCCACTTTGATCACCCATAACATCAAAATGAGCTCACTGTAGTTACAGGTGTTATGGGTTACAGCTCTCAATGACAGCTCTGACTCCAATAATCAGCCATATCACGTTGACTACTGTAACAACTACAATGTTCAGACAGAAAAATCTTGGAGAATTGGAAAACAAATTTCAGATGCTTTTCCTTGAAATCCAACGTCTACCTAAACTTATGTGAAATTTATTGAAATCAGCTTCCCTAAGACTGTTCAAATCTGAACACAATACATCACAAAATAGCCTCAGGCAAACTGAACAATACCAAGTCACATGTTTGTGAGAACGTATGCCTACCCTGCTGTACTTTTAAGCTCTGTTTCCTTTGAAGATCTTTTATTTTGCTTAAATTTTGCTATCTATTAAAGGATTTATAATACTACATCAGAAATTTCTGCAATTTGATTGGCTTAGAGCAGTGCTATTTCAGCTTAATTTGAAAAACCTTCATGTGAAAATTACAAACCTTTTGTGGGTAGTAGTATAAACAAATAATAGCATGATTTGTAATTGATATTTGGCATAAATACCACTCGTGATATTTCAAAATTGCCTTAACCCATTCGCTCCTGGAGATTTTGCCGAAAAACGCGTTTTGAAGCTAGTCGAGTGGTTTTCTGGTCACTGTCGTGCTATAAAGAGCTAAAACTTACCACAAACCGGTTTACAGGTCAAACACTTTGCGGCCTTCTGATCCAGATGCAAAATATCAGCTTGCGAAGTTCGGGCATGAGCAGAAAGCAAAATTTCAAGATAGTTTTTGGGTTTAAAAGTGACACAGCAGTCTTGACTTTTACTTTTCGCTTTCTCTCCTCCCTTCTTTTTTCGCTTTTCTTGCCTCATTTTTTTTTTTCTCTTGCTGGGCATTTAGTAGGCTTCATTTTGGTGGGAAGAGTTTTTAGGAAAGCTTTTAGCATCTTAGGATTAGGTGAAAGGAAAGGTAGGTGGGTAATGGAACAAGATTTTCATGGAGATTTTCAAGTCAATGTCACGTGGTTTTTTGCTTCTTTCTCCGCTGTCCTTGACTGAATTGTGCTCATTCTGGTATAGTTTGAAAGATCTCTTCACTCTGCACAAGTTAGCGAAGAAAGTTGTCCTTGACCGTTAAAACTGATGACGTCACAAAAGGGTAGAAAGGACCTGGATCCGCACGGGCGGTTACGGGCTGTTCAGGGGCGAATGGGTTAAAATTCACTCCCCTAAAGGCTCATGAAATTATGTATAACAATTTCGAAATATCACTTGTGGTATTTATGCCAAATATCACTACAAATCATGCTATTACCCAAACAAATATTATCCTAAAACATCTAAACAATATTTCTGGCACATTTTTGACTGAGTGTCTTTCCAAGCAACCACTTTCAAAGTTAAGTAAGTGTAATTTTGCCTTACTGTCTCGTGCATGTTATGTTTGATGTATTTACTTAGTGGTCAAAAAAAGAAAAAAAACTTACTGCCTGGCATGTATTCATGTCCCAAAGATGAACATATCCAAGAGCTGACAATGAAACCAGCGTCTGAAAGAAACAAAATCAAACAGGATATGTCATAAGTGTTTGAACCTGTTGCTTGCCACACGATCTTCACTACAGTTAAAATATTAGTAACATGTACTTTATATTATCTACCCCATGGATAAATATAAACAATTTATACAAAAAAAATATCATTCATAGTAAGAATTTTGTGAAAAAGTCTGACTTTTTTAAAGAAATAAAACACAGACTCCTCTATCTACGGGTTGGAATACATTATACAGCACTGTATATAAAAAAGTTAGAGATTATAAGAAAGTGTAAGAGATTACTAGTACTTAAATGCTGTGCCAGATACAGAGTAACTACTGGAATTGACCAATGTGGTGATCAGAGCAGTGAGCAAGCAAAGGAGCACTTGGATTTCAAATTGATTGATACTCTCAATCTAGTATGTCATTTATCTTTTAGTTTTCAGTTTTGAAATAGTTTGTGTCTGGAAATTATGTACCAAGCTGACACTTTCAGACAGACTCATAGGACCACTGAGGCTAATTCACTTGCCCAGCAGGCCATCAAATGTCTCTTTTATTTTTACTTGCCCAAGATCCAGTTTACTTGCTTCGGGCAATCAAACCTGGGTTTTTCCTACCCTGTAAATGCAGTATTAATTTCTCCTCTTGTTCAGGTTCTCTAACCATAAACCTTATGACACAATGCTCAAGTTTACAGATTTCTAGAAATTTCCAGGGACTGCACACTTTTTTCCCAAACCTTTCTGGTTGAGTACCAGTACACTAAAAAGTAAACAAAGACAGAAAATGCATTTTTATACCTGCGAGTTTCTCTCATAAACCAGATCTCTTATTTTGTCTTTTCCTTTATTCTGTTGATCTAATGTACTATATAGTCGGCTGGCAGGTGATTTAATACAGAGGTTCAACTCATTATCTTCCTTTTGTGTGACTGGATCTTGAACACACCATAATGAAATACTACCATCTCTCGATCCTAAAGCAAAAAAAAGTTACATAAATATAACAGTGCAAAGGAACTATTAATAACTACCTCAGCTAAAGAAGAATAATATTATTTTACATTATTCATTCAAAATATTTCCCAGATTCTGATTGGCTAAAAGCACACGTTTAATTCACCATAACCAGTTTCTGATGACCAAATTTGGAAGAATTTTGTGTTTAGCGAGGAAATGACATAAAAAATGCAGCATTCTTGCAGGTTAATGCACCATTAACCGAGAAGATCTGGGGATGAGGTTGAGTTGTTTTGGTTGTGAACTTGAAAAATGGCAGACATTTCACTTGTTCCAAGAGTAAGAATTAGGTGAAAAAATAGCTAAAAACATGCCTAAAAACATGCCAAACCTAAACGTGCACTATCAAAGATAAACTTAACATCGATGGATCGACGGAGGTAAGTATGTCGTGTCCTTCCTATTTCAACGTGTTGTTGCCTTTCTGCTGATTAGAACTTAAGCGTTTTCTCTGCGGCGGAACGCAGTGACATAGCAGAGAATTATGGAGATCTCGGAGGGTGTTATCCACAACAACCTCCTCGATCTCCATAATTCTTCATAAGATACTCAGCCTCATTCCTTAATATTGTTAATTAATACACTCAGTCAGGGGTACATTCGTTCTAACAACAACTCTCATGACAATCTTACTCAGACTTTAATGGGGCTTGCCTACAAACCTTTCTGGATGCATTTAGGCCGTTAAGAAGGAAACTGTTGATAACATGATTCTCAGTGGCTTTAAAAATGTATCCAAAGTTAACAGATCAATAATCCAATAATAAGACATACCCGCATCTGTATGTTAACTGGTTTTAATTTTTTTTCCAACAAAACAATGAACACGGCTTAAATGATTGACGCCACGGACCTTATCCTTAAGGAAAAATTATTCAGTCCATAATATCTGGCAAAACTTGAAGAGGTACTTGATAAAACAAAAACGTAAAAATTAATTTTTAAAGGACTCTTGATATACAGCTTATTTTAATCTAAATAGCTCTGGATTTGATTTTGCAATAAACCTCAATTCAGTTTGCTAGAAAATCTGGGCAGATCTTACATGCATGTTTTGATGACCACTGAAAAAGACAGGAGATATACCTGTAATTTTTGAATACCCAATTTAGATATCAGAGTTCCTTTCAAGTTATATTTTACTTTCAACTAACCTGTTGCTAGATGAAAATCATCAATCCACTCCACAGAAAATATCCAGTCCATGTGTCCCTTAACAACGAAAACAAGTGAAATCAATATAACACCTAGTGCCATCCCAACAACTTTTCTCAGAGTTCAAAATTGATGCTTGCAAACTGCAGGTGGATTTTCCAGGTTTTGACTCAAAAGAACATCCTCTAGTTAAGGTTGTTGTGATATTTTATGTAGAGTGTCATCAGTCCTCTATTTTCTATTTAGAAAATGCCTTCAGGGGAGGGGTTTCAGGGCGTGAAGTGTCACTAGGGAGATGCAAAAAAAAAAGTCAAAGAAGAAGACTATACTACAATGTCATGTCCGATTGCTTCGAGTCGTTTTCTCCTCTCAAAAACATCTGAATCAACCAGCCGTTAATGTCGTCCAGTGACGTCACTCAC